CACTGGAGTGATAGATGTGCAGAAGATGATGTGCAAATAGAGATACTGGGGTGCAAATGAGCAAAATAAATAACTATGTAAATAACAATATGGGGATGACGTAGTTGGGTGTGCTAATGACAGATGTGCTGTGTACAGGTGCAGTGATCGGTAAGCTGCTCTGACAACTGATGCTTAAAGAAAGTGAGGGAGATAAGTGTCTCCAGCTTCAGAGATTTAGATAAAATAAGCAAACTTAGGTATCACATGCCTGCAACAAACGCTGACACTACACATCCAAGTATATCTGACCAAATTATGAAAGACAAGAATTGTACTTTTGAATTCCATAAAGTCAGCGTGGAAGAGGTGAAAAAATGTGTTTGACCATGCTGCAGGTGATATAACTGTTTGTATGCAATATTTGCTTTGTAGACTTCACCGGACAGATGTTGCTTTCTGGTTTTGTGATGAAACAAACATATGTGTAGTTGAATTTATTCCGCCACTGTGTAACTGTTGTCTTTTTGTGGTTGGTGCACGCCGACAGACCTGTATGGTGGATGGAGTAAGGAAGCCCAGTGGTTGGTGCACGCCGACAGACCTGTATGGTGGATGGAGTAAGGAAGCCCAGTGGTTGGTGCACGCTGACAGACCCCTATGGTGGATGGAGTGAGGAAGCCCAGTGGTTGGTGCACGCCGACAGACCTGTATGGTGGATGGAGTGAGGAAGCCCAGTGGTTGGTGCACGCCGACAGACCTGTATGGTGGATGGAGTGAGGAAGCCCAGTGGTTGGTGCACGCCGACAGACCTGTATATGGTGGATGGAGTGAGGAAGCCCAGTGGTTGGTGCACGCCGACAGACCTGTATATGGTGGATGGAGTGAGGAAGCCCAGTGGTTGGTGCACGCCGACAGACCCCTATGGTGGATGGAGTAAGGAAGCCCAGTGGTTGGTGCACGCCGACAGACCTGTATATGGTGGATGGAGTGAGGAAGCCCAGTGGTTGGTGCACGCCGACAGACCCCTATGGTGGATGGAGTGAGGAAGCCCAGTGGTTGGTGCACGCCGACAGACCTGTATGGTGGATGGAGTGAGGAAGCCCAGTGGTTGGTGCACGCCGACAGACCTGTATGGTGGATGGAGTAAGGAAGCCCAGTGGTTGGTGCACGCCGACAGACTCGTATATGGTGGATGGAGTGAGGAAGCCCACACCATCCATTATTTTGTTATTTGAAGAAAAGTCTCTCCCTTCGTACATATATTTGGGTTATGTGAGATATCCTGTAAGAGCCTTCGTGCCCAAACCCTTGCAGTGTGATAAATGTAAACTATTTGGACATGTCAAGTGTATGTAGACGGGAGGAGTATCGAATGCCAGTTGAGGTGAAATGCTGCAATTGTGGTGGCGAGTATGCGCCTGAATTCATGAAGTGCCCTGTCAGGGTGAAGGAGACCGAGGTGGCAAGAGTGAGGGCTGTCCAGCATGTCTCCTATCCGGAGGCGGTGAGAAGAGTGGAAGAAACCATGGTAGTTGGATTTGAAACATCAGTAACTGTTACTCGCCAACAGGATCCTGACATGTTGCATGTTAAAAAGGTGGACAGCCTGGAGGTGTGTTCGGTCATTGTCCTGTTGAAAAACAAATTATAGTCCCACTAAGCCCAAACCAGATGGGATGGCGTATTGCTGCAGAATGCTGTGGTAGCCATGCTGGTTAAGTGTTCCTTGAATTCTAAATAAATCACAGACAGTGTCACCAGCAAAGCACCCCAACACCATAACACCTCCTCCTCCATGCTTTACGGTGGGAAATACACATGCGGATATCCATTCACCCACACCGCGTCTCACAAAGACACGGCGGTTGGAACCAAAAATCTCCAATCTCCAATCTCACATTTCCACCGGTCTAATGTCCATTGCTCGTGTTTCTTGGCCCAAGCAGGTCTCTTCTTATTGGCGTCCTTTAGTAGTAGTTTCTTTGCAGCAATTTGACCATGAAGACCTGATTCACACAGTCCCCTCTGAACAGTTGATGTTGAGCTGTGTCTGTGACTTGAACTGAATTTCTGACGCTAGTAACTCTAATGAACTTATCCTCTGCAGCAGAGGTAACTCTGGGTATTCCATTCCTGTGATGGTCCTCATGAGAGCCAGTTTCATCATAGCGCTTGATGGTTTTTGCGACTGCACTTGAAGAAAGAAGTTCTTGAAATGTTCCGTATTGACTGATCTTCATGACTTAAAGCAATGATGGACTGTCATTTCTCTTTGCTTATTTGAGCTGTTCTTGCCATAATATGGACTTGGTCTTTTACCAAATATGGCTATCTTCTGTATACTCCCCTACCTTGTCACAACACAACTGATTGGCTCAAATGCATTAAGAAGGAATGAAATTCCACAAATTAACTTTCAACAAGGCACACCTTTTAATTGAAATGCATTCCAGGTGACTACCTCATGAAGCTGGTTGAGAGAATGCCAAGAGTATGCAAAGCTGTCATCAAGGCAAAGGGTGGCTATTTGAGAGGTGCGTGGGGCTGCCACACTGGGTGCCCGGGAATATGTTGTTGTGGGGGGTTAAGTGCCTTGCTCAAGGGCACAACTGCAGGCAATGGCATCTAGGATATGATACCAGCAACCCTCCGGTTGCCAGCTCACTTCCCACCAGATTTTCCCGTCAGACTCTGGCTGCTGCCACTGTATTGTATTCGGGAGATGTAGGTTTGTACAGTTTGTACTTGGCGCCATTCGTCATCAACCCACCACTTCTTCTTCTGTGAGGTTTTATAGCAGATTACAACCTATATATTGTATTGCTGCCACCTACTGTACGGGTAGTGAACTGGAGAAAAATTAAATCCATTAAGGAAAGGGGGAATAAAACAACATTACACAAAAGAAAAACAGATTTAAAAAAATATAGACATCCCACTCCTTCAGTCACAGTCCAATCCAAATCACATATTCATTCAGTATTCCCTGCAATGTTTTAGCTGTTAATTCCTGAAGACCCCAAAAACCTTTCAACCAAAGATAGATATAATTATGTACAGTTCCTTGGACTTCTTGCTAGTTTGGGCAGTACAATTAATCAACTGCGCAATTAACGCCGCAAAATCAACCTTCTTCACTATCAGTGTATCTGTGTTTTTCAACCAGTGAATTACATTCTGAATCTCAACAGGCTGTAGGGCATCCACTGCCATAGCTTCCTTAGCTCCATCTACTATACTGAACAAAAATATAAACGCAACATGTAAAGTGTTGGTCCCATGTTTCATGAGCTTAAATAAAAGATCCCGGAAACTTTCCATACACACAAAAAGGTTATTTCGCTCAAATTTGGTGCACAAATTTGTTTACATACCTGTTAGTGAGCATTTCTCCTTTGCCAAGATAATCAATCCACCTGACAGGTGTGGTATATCAAGAAGCTGATTAAACAGCATGATCATTACACAGGTGCACCTTGTGCTGGGGACATTAAAAGGCCACTCTAAAATGTGCAGTTTTGTCACAACACCTGCCACAGATTCCTTAAGTGTTGAGGGAGCGTGCAATTGGCATGCTGACTGCAGGAATGTCCATCAGAGCTGTTGCCAGAGAATTTCATGTTCATTTCTCTACCATAAGCTGCCTCCAACATCATTTTAGAGAATTTGGCAGTATGTCCAACCGGCCTCACAACTGCAGACCACGTGTAACCACGCCAGCCCAGGACCTCCACATCCGGCTTCTTCACCTGCAGGATCATCTGAGACCAGCCACCCAGACAGCTGATGAAACTGAGGAGTATTTATGTCTGTAAGAAAGCCCTTTTGTGGGGGGAAACTCATTCTGATTGGCTTGGCCTGGCTCCCCAAAGGCCCAGTCATGTGAAATCCATAGATCAGGCAGAGCTGCCAACTCTCACGCATTGACTGTGAGACACATGCATTTTACCCTCTTCTCACGCTCTCACGGCACACCTCTTATATCTCACTCGTTGAAAAGTACTGCTTTTATTTTTCTAATTAGTCAGCGTGTTAACTTTTCAACTGTGCTCCAAATCGTTTTGAAATCGGAGCACCTGCGCCTGCAATTTAACATCACGAGCTGAACCTCTATCATCGTCCTGTCTTGCCACAGCACTGTGAAGAGCGGCACATTGATTGGGCTACTTACATAAGGGGTCAAGGGATATCTGTTATGGCTATTGTGTCTTTGAAAATGAATTAAATGAGGCTATGTATTTTTGCAGCCATTCATGGACAGTTTTGAATAAGTCATACCAATAAGCATTGGAAATTAAATGCTCCAGGAATCAAATATATTTTTTGACATTTTAGTATTGTGCACATGCTAGGCAAAGATGGTAGGGATACTCACAACTCATAAACGCATCATATTGTGTTTATGTAGAGTAAGATGATGGCAAGGATCTTCGACTAGTAGGAATAAACCACCTGAATATTAATATTCATTCGATTTTGAGAAATTAATTGTTAAACCAATAACATTTTAAAACACCCAGCACTTCTGTAGAGCAAGCAGGATTTTCTTCCAGTAACAAAGTCGTCGAATTTTGTGTGTTCATTTAAAGTTCAAAGCATCCTTAATACACCTGACCTGTGGTTTGAATGTGTCTATTTTCCACCCTGGTCATATGCCTAAGCCATGTCAAAATACGTAGAATTGCAGGAACAGTAACAGTAACATTTTCCATCTAGGGGTTGTGCCAGGGGGCAATGAAATTCACATAGCAAATCTCACTCCAAGCCTTCTTCAAAAGTTGGCAGCCCTGGATTTGGGCCTAATGAATTTATTTCAATTGACTGATTTCCTTATATGAACTGTAACTCAGGAAAATCGTTGAAATCGTTGCATGTTGCATTTATATTTTTGTTCATTATATTCCCCGCTCCTCCGTGCAGGAGACCTGCTGTACAGCCTTGTAGGTCTACTTATAGCATTTTGCTCTGTGTTCTGTCTTCCTCTAATGGCGTGTTTAGGTACAGCACGTTGACCCGGATATGATTCCGTCAACAAACACGTGTGAAAGAATCTAGCAAGCTAGTTAGTCAAGCTAAAAAAGAACAGTGAGGTTTTGTGGAAAAATAATCAACAGGGTGAGTTTAATAGTGTGTTATGACTACAGAAAGGTCTTGCAATCATTTTTAACTAAGGTACGTTAAAATAGTTTTGTATTATTTCTCGCGTAGATTAAGATGTTTGATTAGAAGACTGGTCCTGTCGCAGTAACTGCTGTATATAGCTAGCTACTTTGCTACAACTAGATAACTAGCTAGCTAGTTAATGTTTATATCAAGTCAAAAACTTAACATATGGCAATTTTGACAGTTAAGTCAGACAATATGCCAATGGTGTTGTAAGTTGCTTGTAAACGTAAAGCAGCTTGCGGACAATAGAATACGAACGATTTTGCAATGAATCACCCATTTTATTATTCCAATAGGTCATATAAAGAAGACTACCTAGCACCACAATGGGGAAATCCAAACAGATCGGAAACCACAACAGTACCAGGAAGAAGAGTATTGGCAAGACATGGAAGACAAAGAATTATACGAAGCACTTGGACCAAATCCATGCAGACATGAAGCCCTCAGCTGCGGCCAAGTTGCTCAAACAGGAGGTGGACTATGATGTCACTGGCAGTGCGCAGCACTACTGTTTACATTGCGCGTAAGCACATTTATGCTCTTTGTATCTATCCAAAAGGTTCACTGAACAAAAATGTACCAACTGGAAAGCCGTAATTTTATGTGCATTTGTTTTGTTTGCAGACGATATTTTGTTGATGTGAAAGCCCTGAAGGAGCACTTTAAAACCAAAGTGCACAAGAAAAGGTAAGATCCCCACTGTTTTCTTTTGAAGCAGACAACTGTTCTTTGAATAAATGTGGATACAGTACCTGTGACACACCTTCCTCCCCGCCCCCAGCACCCTAGTATTATAACCTTGTAGCTGGGCATGTTGATGATGTTTTGATGACTGAGCAGCTGCATTTCTTCTCTCTCCCACACTCTGTTCAGGATTAAGCTGTTGAAGGAGGAACCCTACACTCAGGCAGAAGCAGATAGAGCTGCAGGTATGGGTTCTTACATACCTCACAAAACCGTAGAGGTGAAAACACAAGAGGTGGAAGAGAAGATGGACTGAGTGTGGACTGCCGTTCTTTGACCATTACTTTCACCCAGGTTCAAGAACACCTTGCTTTTTGGTTACTTTGATCAATGGACATTGCTTTGCATAAATGCATTACACATATAAATGTATATGCACCTGTAAATATGTAATGTCTGTGGAGCAAAATGTGAACTTGTTGACACAAACAATAATAAACTAAAAGGAAATGGAGTGATAGACTGGATGCCAGTCCGTTTCTATTTTAGGCAGGTTTTTAATTTGTCATGCTTGCAGCAGGTTAGAAAACAATGTATGTCTAGTGACAATGCAATATGATACAGTTTGTATTCAATGCCTGTGCAACCCGTAAAACATTAAATATAGCACAGAATTTAGAATCAACTATTTAATATGTGATAGAGCAACTCAATACACTGATTGAGATTGTAACTTGAGCTCAAATGCAACTGTAAAGCAGTTTGTGCTCCTATAATTCACTGTTACCCTTAATTCTAATTATAGTACCATTCCGTCACATTAGTGTTTAGGAAGTATTTTTGTTAACTCGAATTTTACAATGTGTTGTCATGTATCTTTCAATTTATTGAGCAGTTATGTTTGTTTATATTATTGGCACCAATGTCAGAAATGGATGTATTTGTAGCAGCAAGAAGTCACAGATGTTTTGGGACGAGCACATCCAATAGGGAAATCTGTTTTAACATAAATTCATATAATTATTTATATCAATAATTGTATTTTTTTATATCAAATTTTTTTTTTTGATATAAAGGAATTATCTATATATATATATATATTTTTTTTAGTGCATTTTTTAAAATATAAAATGTAAATATTGATACTTGATTTTACATATCAATAATTATATGATAATGACCTTAATGTGGGCTGGGTCAGATTTGCATGCGTCTACATAGGTTCTCTGCTCCCAACAGGAGAGACAGCAACATGGCTGCACTTGTACTTCTCCAAGTAAAAGCCTATGCTTGCTCCGGGAAATACGAACCGGAGGCTCCGTACCGAGGGTTTGAAGCAATTGCGGAGCCTCCGGAGGCCAAATCGAGCTCCATACCGCATCGCTGTGCGCCTCCCAAATGTTTTAACAATGCGGAGGGCTCGGCATTGACATGATTGGTTAATGGTAGGCGGGGGCGAAAGGTCATGTATAAACACAAACTCACTTCCTTGTCAACTGCTCTGCAAAGCTCGAGAAGAATGCTCTCCCTTCTGCGGAGGTCGTATCGCAGTAAATGCTGTACAGCCGCTGCGGATTGACCATGCAGAGCCTTTTAGAAGGAGCATTGCAGCAATGATGCCCAGGAGGCTGTGACCCTGTTATGTAGGCCTAATAGCCAATTTATGCTTGCTCTGGCAATGCGATCCGAGGCAGCTCTACTCCGCGAAGCGCAAGAAGTATGAATGCCCTGACTTCTGCAGAGGCCGTATCACAGTAAATGCTGAATGCCACTGCAGATGTTGGATTGAGCCTGCAGAGCCTTTAAGCATGGCTGTTCTGCTGCTGTTGAGGAGCAGCAGTGGATAATATTTTCGGGGAGGAAAAAAAAGTTTGCAGGGGGAATTGAACTCACCCTCATTGCGTCTAAAGCCTAAAAGGCTCAGCATGGTCAATCTGCAGTGGCCGTACAGCATTTAGTGCGATGCGGCCTCCGCAGAAGGCTGAGCATTCATGCTTCGCGGAGAAGAGCATAACTTTTGTGAAGGAAGAGGTCAAGGAAGGGAGTTTGCGTTTATACAGGACCTCCCACCTCCACCTACCGTCAACAAATCATGTCAATGTGGAGCCCTTCGCATTTGTAAAAAATTTGGGAGGCGATGTGGTATGGAGCTCGCCTTGACCTCCGCAAGCCTCCAGAGGCTCCGCAATTGTGTCAAATCCTCTGCACGGAGCCTCTGGATCGCATTGCCAGAGCAAGCATAAATTGGCTTGAACGCATTAACAGCTTCCATCACCTACAAGCCATATTAAAAAGGGGGAAAATGGTTACTGATGTTATGAAATACACAAACGTAATTATTGATTTAGTGTGAGAGAATACAACTTTAGCAACATTTATAATGACCGTCACATATGCAGTGGCGATTTTAGCATGTAAATCTTGGTGGGGCAAACCCCCCAAAAATTGGGGGGATGTATGCCAGCAAAGCCAAAACACAACACTAAACAATACATTAATTGCACTATAACGGTGACAAACGGTGCTCACAAACCGTTAGGGCCTACATAAAGCTGTCCCAACAGCAGTCCCAACACCTTACCACTGCTACACCCGGCTATCAGCGGAGCCTTGTCTGGCAGCGAAACAGTTCATTCAGCCTCATTTACTGCCTTTTAAAAAAACATAGCTGATATGGCTGACTTGCTTAAACAAATGTGGTTTGTACTGACAATTGAGATGTACAAACTATGGCATAAGGGGATGACAAGCGGATGAGAGGCAATCCGTAATTTCGATTAAGACAATGAGCGAGCTAGGACGGACGTAGTCAATATAACTATTTGTTCAGCACTTTTGAAATGTACAGCGACAGAATTCAGAACATGGGCCATTCTTACAGTGTTCTCCCTGTACACCAAGTCAGAACCGTAGGATAAATAAAGGGGGCATATAAGCAGACAATAAAAGCTCTTACAATATTTGATGATGACATTTCTCTAAAACAGGTTATAGGCTACATGTGCACCACCAAGTCAGAACAGTAGGCGAAATTAAGAGGGGAAAATAGACCAAATTATTAAGGTGAGGCACATGGGCTACTAAAAGCTTACTACACAACATACAGTGAGGGAAAAAAGTTTTTGATCCCCTGCTGATTTTGTACGTTTGCCCACTGACAAAGACATGATCAGTCTATAATATTTGAACAGTGAGAGACAGAATAACAACACAAAAATCCAGAAAAACGCATGTCAAAAATGTTATTTTAGATTTGAGTCATTTAGCCGACGCTCTTATCCAGAGCGACTTACAGTTATAAATTGATTTGCATTTTAATGAGGGAAATAAGTATTTGACCCCTCTGCAAAACATGACTTAGTACTTGGTGGCAAAACCCTTGTTGGCAGTCACAGAGGTCAGACGTTTCTTGTAGTTGGCCACCAGGTTTGCACACATCTCAGGAGGGATTTTGTCCTACTCCTCTTTGCAGATTTTCTCCAAGTCATTAAGGTTTTGTGGCTGACGTTTGGCAACTCGAACCTTCAGCTCCCTCCACAGATTTTCTATGGGATTAAGGTCTGGAGACTGGCTAAGCCACTCCAGGACCTTAATGTGCTTCTTCTTGAGCCACTCCTTTGTTGCCTTGGCCGTGTGTTTTGGGTCATTGTCATGCTGGAATACCCATCCACGACGCATTTTCAATGCCCTGGCTGAGGGAAGGAGGTTCTCACCCAAGATTTGACGGTACATGGCCCCGTCCATCGTCCCTTTGATGCAGTGAAGTTGTCCTGTCCCCTTAGCAGAAAAACACCCCCAAAGCATAATGTTTCCACCTCCATGTTTGACGGTGAGGATGGTGTTCTTGCGGTCATAGGCAGCATTCCTCCTCCTCCAAACACGGCGAGTTGAGTTGATGCCAAAGAGCTCGATTTTGGTCTCATCTAACCAAAGAGCTCGATTTTGGTCTCATCTGACCACAACACTTTCACCCAGTTCTCTTCTGAATCATTCAGATGTTCATTGGCAAACTTCAGACGGGCCTGTATATGTGCTTTCTTGAGCAGGGGGACCTTGTGGGCGCTGCAGGATTTCAGTCCTTCACGGCGTAATGTGTTACCAATTGTTTTTTTGGTGACTATGGTCCCAGCTGCCTTGAGATCATTGACAAGATCCTCCCGTGTAGTTCTGGGCTGATTCCTCACCGTTCTCATGATCATTGCAACTCCACGAGGTGAGATCTTGCATGGAGCCCCAGGCCGAGGGAGATTGACAGTTATTTTGTGTTTCTTCCATTTGCGAATAATCGCACCAACTGTTGTCACCTTCTCACCAAGCTGCTTGGCGATGGTCTTGTAGCCCATTCCAGCCTTGTGTAGGTCTACAATCTTGTCCCTGACATCCTTGGAGAGCTCTTTGTTCTTGGCCATGGTGGAGAGTTTGGAATCTGATTGATTGATTGCTCCCTTTAAGTGTGCTCCTAATCTCAGCTCCTTACCTGTATAAAAGACACCTGGGAGCCAGAAATCTTTCTGATTGAGAGGGGGTCAAATACTTATTTCTCTCATTAAAATGCAAATCAATTTATAACATTTTTGACATGCGTTTTTCTGGATTATTTTGTTATTCTGTCTCTCACTGTTCAAATAAACCTACCATTAAAATTATAGACTGATCATTTCTTTGTCAGTGGGCAAATGTACAAAATCAGCAGGGGATCAAATACTTTTTTTCCCTCACTGTACATATTACTTTCTTAGCTACAGTATACATATCTCCCTGGCATATTACATTTTTGGATTTACTTTGTTGTGCTGTGCTCACTTGAACAGGAAGGTGGTGCGGCAGTCTTTCGTGGGCAAATGTTGTCATCAAAGTCTGGCATTCTCTGGATTTATGGTGTATTCAAGACAACTGGGAACTCGGAAAAAACAAGGTTGAATCATGATGACGTCAGTGATCTTCAGGTCGTAGCTTTAGAAAGAGGCCCGAGTTCCCGACTTACAATTCCGAGTTGGATGACTGTTCAAAACGTATTTTCCCAGTCGGAGCTCGTTTTTTCCTGAGTTCCCAGTTGTCTTGAACTCACTGAAGTCAGATTTCCCAGTTCTGAGTTAACAGTTGTTTTGAGCGCGGCAGAAATCATGCTTCATTGACAGCATGGCCAATGTTGAATGTTTATCATTTTAAGCTTGGAAAAGAGAACCTTAAATCGAGAATTGGGACCACACACCCACTCCACTGAATAGCAGGCTAGTGATTGCTTTGCAATGCTTGCAGTTAGCCACTGATCCCTTCCAAACTACTCATTGTTGAATTTGCGATTTCCAACTAAGTGTGTAATGTTGATGTCCAATGGCCGATGAGCACCGATACATTTTAGCTATATTTTCTCCATTATTTCTCTTCATATGTCAAGGATTAAAAAGGATTTGCCAGTAGATTGTCGACTTGTTTCATGATGATGACTGCTAGCTAAGATTTTGAAAGTATGTTGTTGACATGATCAGTCCAATCAAAGCTACTGTAGATATAACGTCATTTGATGTCATTTTATCTGTGGCCAATGACCTTGAGCCTTCTTGGATGGGCACTTCTAATGTAACTCAATGGCAGCTTGAATTTTCGAGCTCTACCCTTAGATTTGGCAGTGACTAGTGACCCCATGAGTGACAGAACACTGAGCCAATCACGACGCAACTAGAGAACATTACCAGCCCCTATACTTAGTATTTTCTGCTGGCTGCCCCACCACCACAGAAAGCACTGAGCTAGGCTGAAACACCTGCATTTTGGAGCTGTCTTACTCAAGAAAGCAAAAAATATACCATGTTTGTATGGAGGCTTTTTTTTAACATTGTTTGCAAACTTATATGTGACACGTATTAATGCCAAAATAACATGCAAAACAGGCACCCCAAAAAATGACGGGTCGCCACTGCACATATACATTATTGGACTCTGGAGGAGCAGCAATGGATCGTTTTTTTTCGGGGGAAATGTTTGCCTGCAGGGGGACTGGAACTCACGGCATCTAAAAAGCTAGTAGCACAGCACATTAGTGGCTTCTACCACCTACAAGTGATGGTGCTTTATGGAAAAAGTGGTCAATCGAAGATGATTGGTTTTCAGTGTTAATGATGCTATATATATATATATGCTAATATATTCGGAATCCAGCAGTTATATATATATTTGATAGTAATTATTTTATATCGATAATTCGTTTTTATATAACAAAATCAGATAGCGATAATAATGTTTTATCCATTGAATCGTATGGGGAATTATTGATATCAAAAATTCAAATTATTGATATCAATAAATAATTTATTTATATACATTTGTTGAAATATTGATATCAAAACATATTATTATATATTTAAAAATTATATGAATATTTGTTAAAACGGCTTTCCATGCATCCAATGTTCTCTGGCAAATCCAACATATTATTATTGTTATGACGAACCAAGCAGATATTCCAGCGAATAACAAAATAGCAAATAACAAAATAGCACACTGGCCCTTTAATGCTGTCTTGCCCCTCAGTAAATGGATTCGATGAATGGAGAAGAAGAGATGTGGGAAATGAGAATTTCAAGAAATTAAGGTCTATACATGTACAGCTAGCTGTTGGTTGCAACAGAGTAGCGATCGGGAAGTCGCGGATAGTTCTACGAGTAGAGTACATTTTTACCGTAATTGGTGGCTATATTTCCAATAAATAAAGGTAATTTGCGCGGATTGTCTAGAGAGCATGCCTGCGTTTGTGTAGGGGTGAGAGCAAGGAATGGCCGCGGACGTGGATAAAATAATCCCCGAGGACAAGAATGCTAGTCTGGGGGAGGATGAGCATCTGGACAAATCTCAAAGCGGTGAACGACTGGCGTCTGGCAAATCCAAGCGATCTAGGATCATTGGAGCAATGTCAACATTGCTTATGTTCATTATTGTTCCCCTTCTTGCCTTTGGTTACAAATATTATCAGGACTCACAGCTTCTTACACGTCATGTAAGTTCAACATCTGTATCCATGTTTTACGCATCTTGTTCAGCAGATGTCTTTAGTTTTGCATCTGAATTGACTGTGATATAAAACATGAATTACCTTTAAATTATTGCAAAGAGTTTATTTTCTCTGCCAAGTCTTGTGCTGATGGCAGTCTGCTATTTCTCATATTAACTGTTAAAAGTTATTCACAGTATTTTAAATCATGGGGCTTTTTTTATTTTACATTTTTGGGAAGGTTTTAGAAATTGAACAAATACCCTGCGTGCCACGTATTGTTTTTGTGGGATCAAACACTTTTCTACCCCGTACCGTTTTTTTTGTTTTTTTACCCAAGGTCGTTTTATTAGGGGGTTGGATGTCTGCCACAGCTGGTCACACTCAACACCCCACTTACAGAACTAGTTGTCTGGCTCACAATTGGTACTCCTTCTTCCCTCCACTGAGCTAACATCAGAGCTTGCGTGCAGACAGTGTATTTTTGTGTAGAAGGGCCTCAAGGTTAGAACATTATTTTAGGAAACTAATCCCCTCACTTCCTTGCCATGTTTAATTTCAAGTACACTCATTTGATACATTTTGATAAACTGATACATTTGTAGCTGCATTCTTTATCCAAATTTTTTTTTCAAAATTGTAGAGGTATTAGAGGTTAGGGTTAAAAAGATGCACTCTGATCTGTGCCAGACATTGTGTTGGGCGTGTCCAGGAAAGTCACTGGAGCTTGAGAACTGACACAATAAGACACAATAAGGAACTCTTAATGTGTGTTCCTCCAACAGGAAGTGGCATTGAAAGCACTGGGCGCCGAGGGCCTCTTTCTCTTCTCCTCCTTGGACACAGACCATGACCTGTACCTCAGTCCTGAGGAGTTCAAACCCATCGCAGAGAAACTCACAGGTTCACCACGAGCCTTCTTATGTACCGCACCCTAACACATTCAAATCCAAAATACTGCATCCCCACAAACCCAACACGAATACTCAGTCATTGGTTTGTGACCTTTTGCCCGCCTCCCTGCAGGGATCTCGCCTCCAGCGGATTTCGAGGAGGAAGTGACCCATGACCCCAATGGAGAGACCCTAACCCTGGAGGCCAAGATGCAGCCTCTGCAGCTTTACACAATGACGAAGAGCAAGGATGGTTTCCTAGGGGTAATAAGAGTAGACTTCCCTTATAATGACAGTGTTGCCTTACCTCACCTGTGATTTACACTGAAGTGATTTATAAGCCAGTCCAAGAATAGATAACACCCTACCGTGTAAACTTTGTACTGCTTTTGAAGCTGTCTCTGAGTGGATTTGAAAGATTACTTACCAGTAAGTTGCTTTTATAAAAGGACTTATGGTGATAAATTACAGAAAAGAGAGAAAAAGTTTAAAATAGACAGTCCAAGGCTTAGCAGAGAAAGCCTCAGATATCACAGTTAAGTCTCCGCCTCGCCAGGTTACTCATAGTTCCCTGAGTGGGCTGCGTTCCTGGCAGAGTCCTGCTGTGCCCTCCACGTCCTTCTCAGCCAGCCAGTTCAGGGCCTTCCTGCCCCCCAAAAACAAAGGGGAAGTGGGGGACACCTGGTGGGTCGTTCAGAGTGAGCTCAACATCTTCACTGGGTACCTGCCAAACAATCGCTACCACCCTCCTGCACCACGAGGAAAAGAGGTACGGTTTTAGGAAGTGACTGTATCTGATATTTTATATTCAGTTTGACTTTAATAATTGTCCACGACACTTGTTCATCACTCAAAATCTTGGCGAAGATTATATATACATCATTGGCGAAACAAAGTGTTACTTTGACTATGAGATGAGATGAAATTACAGCATAGTCAAGTGGTATCAGTAGAAAATGTAAAACGTCACATAACTTGTTTGAAGGAAAGACATGAACCTAGCAGTGACTGTGTTTGTTTCCCCACAGGTTCTCATTCACTCCCTGCTGAGTATGTTCCACCCACGGCCCTTCATCAAGTCCCGCTTTGCCCCTCAGGGAACAGTGGCCTGCATCCGAGCCGCCAGTGACTTCTATTTGGACATAGTCTTCAGGTGAGGGAACTCTGAGATTCCTCATCAAGCCTAGTCCATTGAGTTTACAACTAGTTACCACTTTGTTACCATGTTATTACCTCTGTACCTCCACAGGATCCATGCAGAGTTCCAGCTCAACGACGTCCCAGACTTCCCCTTCTGGTTCACCCCAGGCCAGTTCACTGGCAACATTGTCCTCTCTCGGGACTCCTCCCACGTCCGACAGTTCAACCTCTACGTCCCCAACGACAGGTCAGTGAATAACATGGTTGACTCTGTTATTGATAACATTTTACATTTACATTTACATCATTTAGCAGACGCTCTTATCCAGAGCGATAACCAGAATTACCTCTATAGTCTACAGACTTTGTGTCTTATCCATTTAGAGTAGAGTAACCTTTAGGACGATAGTAATGCTGTTATGCTACTGATATATCCGTTAGTGAATGTAAGATGGCAGACACTGACTTCTCCCGGTCTCACAGGACTCTGAATGTGGACATGGAGTGGCTCTATGGAGCCACTGAGAGCAGCAATATGGAGGTGGACATTGGATACCTGCCACAGGTAGGCTACTGTGCCTTGTCATGCTGTGGCATACCAACATTTGATTCGGTGTAATGTGACATAGTAGGATGTGTTCTATTTGCTATGTGATCTCTGTCGGTGTTTCTCAATATGCATACTACCGTGCTCCGAGCACGCAAATTGGAGCACGGGAGGGTCGGAGTATGAGTCCAAATCAAAGTATGCAAAACGGAGCATGGAGGGCACTTCTCGGATGCATACTACATATTTTGAAGCATGCATCGATGCAAGCTTCAACAGAAAGTATGCACAGAAATTTGACAACCACGTAAAAAACGACTATCTTGAAATCAATGGCAGAAAATAATTCAGACTTTGCAAACAAATGTTGCCCATTCACATCTCATATGTTGCCTGACTACAATATTATATATTGATACATTAATAAATACATACTGGGTTAATTGTGGCATGTGCATAGATCTCAAGACCATAGTAAGTAAATATGGCTAACTGGCTAGCTAGCTAACCACGAAGAATCGGTAGCTAGCTACCCATGAAAAATTGACAGCTAGTCATCTACCTTGCATAACATTAGTTGTAGGTCGTTGCCTGTTAAACTAGCTGGCTAGCTAGATTATTACAATTCACATATAGCTAGCTGATAAGTATGAAGTAAAACGTTTGCTTTGTGTATATCTTGTTTTCGTCTATTGCCATTGTTCTGGCTGGAAGCAGGTTCAGTGAATGGAGGTGCAGCATGAGGTAATACAGTAGGGGGAGTGTGAGTGCTTCTCAAATGGACTATTTTATGCGTTCTCCACACTCTCGTCCTCACGAGTGTACTCAAGAGAACGTCAACGGAGAATGAACTCGTAGAATGAGTGTGGGGCACGGTAGTATTCATATTGAGAAACACCCTGTGTGTCGTCAGATGGAGCTGCAAGCCGTTGGTCCATCCACGCCCTCCTTCATCCACGATGAGGAGGGGAACATCATCGACAGCCGACGGGGAGGCAGCGACCCTGTCCAGTTTGTCTTCGAGGACATCCACTGGACGTCTGAGATCAGCCGCGAGGAGGCTGCTCGCCGCCTCGAGGTCACCTTCTACCCCTTCAAGAAGGTACGGCTCAATACGCCTGCTCAGTTTTGTACCATCTATTTAGGGGCTTGTTCTAGTCACTTTTGAACTTCGATCACTACTGGGTATCCCCAAGCTCTCTAAAAATAACTTGATAGACTCCGCACCATTGTGACGATGTACGTCTCTTCTTCGATTGTCCACAGGTGTCATACCTGCCCTTCTCAGAGGCCTTTGAGCGAGCACAGGCAGAGAGCAAGCTGGTGCACTCCATCCTCCTCTGGGGTGCACTAGATGACCAATCCTGCTGAGGTGAGACTGTTCACCTGTGACACTGGGCTCTATGAAGATAATAATCCACCTCTTAATGCTCACTTGGGAGCATTTTAAGTGATTAACTTAAAAAATATAAAGTATATCCTAGACCTGGGGTCAAGGGGTGTCATCTTGGGGGGGCAGCATAGCCTAACCTCCTTCAAGCACTGAATATTACAATGTCTTTAGCTTTGTATGTGACCTTTTTGCTTCCTCCAAACACATTGTCACAGGTTCGGGGCGGACTCTCCGGGAGACAGTCCTGGAAAGTTCGCCCGTCCTGGCCCTGCTCAACCAGAGCTTCGTCAGCAGCTGGTCCCTGGTCAAAGAGCTGGAGGACATGCAGGTGAGTGAGCGGCCCATATTGCTCAGCCCAGCGGAGGCTGGTAGTCAGTGAAATCGAAGGACGGGCTCATTGTAATGGAATGGATGGAAAGGTGTCAAACATGGAAATGATGCGTTTGTTTCATTTATTCCATTCCAAATATTACAATCAGCCCACCCTTCGATTTAAAGTGACACCAGCCACCACTGGCTCATCCTCAAGGTTCAAGGCTAAAATAATGAACCTCTTTAAATGGATAGTGTTCATTACTAAATCAACGTTTGTCTCAAGACCTAATGTCCAACATATTCCACACCATCTGTTGTGTAGGAAACTGCTGTCTGTTTTGAGTGATATGGTGGTAATGTTTCCATATAATCTTATCTCAGGCTAACGAGCATAACCCGGTTGAGAGTCACAGGGCCCGCCTACACCTGGAGAAGTACAACTTTCCAGTAGAAATGATGGTGGCGCTGCCCAACGGCACTATTGTAAGTCCTTACAGTTCCATCATGCTTCCATCTCAACTGCCCAGTTGTTTATCAACAACCTTTAAGTGGATACTTCACTTTGTTGATTCTGGGCGTTGCTAAATAACCAGCTAACAAATTTTTTAAAGGGTTTGGAGGAAATGACAACAACCTATGGAGGGTTGAAAATGACTTGAATCTCTGACTGAAATTATTTTCTAATGACTCTAGGTCCACCATATCAACGCTAATTACTTCCTGGACCAGACGTCCATGAAGCCGGAGGAGGAAGCTCCCACATTTAGCTTCTCTGGGGGGTTCGAGGACCCATCCACTGCTACGTACATCAACTTCCTCAAAGAGGGGCTGGAGAAAGCCAAGGAGCACCTGGCACAGTAAAGACAAACGGTGGTCAAAAGTGTGTGTGTAAATTAGGGGTAAATCCTCTGTGAAGGATAATGATCAAAGAAAAAGCGAACTTCTGTGTAGGGATCGGATTCCTACAGTGCTGGCAGCTGTTGATAACTTTTCAGGTTGTTTCACTAGCATCCAACAGTATCAGTATTACAACAACCTCTTCGAACGACAGTGGTCGCTATACCAGTTGAGCACTTCTGAAGACCTATATGCTTTAGACTAAACTGTTTTTTTTTTTTATAACTAAACTCAATACTCAGTAGATGTTCTTCAAGTTAACATGCTCCTAATCCCATTCCATATAATCACTAATGTTGCTGTTACTTACCAACTATTTTAACAAAGTTCAGAGTCAGAACAGTGGCCAGGTTACAAACATTGCTCTGGTCTCTCCTACTAGTGGCTAATTAATTGTACTTATTTATGCATTCTGTTATCATGTCATAACAGTGAGTTGAGATTTGCTTTACTCAAACTTTAACTTTTCTTTATATCTACATTTTCATACGAAAACAAGCAGACTGCACCATAATTATTTTCTCTATATTGCGCAATATGTAAAGAACCACATATGTGTTTTAATTCTGTTACTGTTGGAGGGGCAGAACAGGTCAAGTCGTTCCCGCTAGAGTTTCAGCAGTTTGTGATGGCCTTGCCTGAAAGTCCAAAGTTGGCTGGGCAAGACCTGATGTCATTGCTAAAGCTTCTGCAGGCAACACCCCTGCTCTGTTCCCCCGAGGTTGCCAACAGCTGTCATGGAAACCCGAAAACAAAGCTGTATGGTGGCACAATGTGTAATGTAATACCTTTTGTTTCTCTTTTTTTTATGAAAGCCAACAGTTGTAGATGTACATCTTATGTTGATTGACTTGTTATTTCTTAACACCTTGACCATGAGATCAGAACCATAAGACTACACCAAAGATTATCTAACAAAATGAATTTATCAGGGGCAAGAAGAAATGGACTTAGTGATAATCATTGTGGATTCTACCACGAACATGTGATAAACTTGAAATGGATCATATCTTAGTAAAGTGTTCTGTTTCTCCATCAGCCTCTTGTTAAGCGCTGCAATATAGGCAGCACATTTAGCCATTACAGAGGTACATTATCCCCTTGAAATATGCTTGACTAACAGTGCCACATTTTCTGCAAAAAATTAAAATGGATCTTTGCTAAAAGGAGTCTTGAGTGTTCTTCGGTGTCCCCAAGCTTGCATTGAACACTGGTGAAACCGACATGTCCCAGAAGTATCAGATAAAGACGTTATAACATGAATAACCATATTTTATTGTCTATTCGTGTTGTACTGTGTGAACATGGATCTAATTTCTGATCAGAGTAAATGTCAGGTTGTGTGTGATGGATAGTGGGTAACATGAAACATTTCTAGAGATACTAAGGTTAGACCGCTTCCCGCCCCCAAGTCCTCTTTTTGTTCACGTTGACTCAACCAGTTCATACAAGTTGATCCATATGCAACAAGGGGGTAGTAAAGTCCCTAGTTCTTCCAATTTCAGTTCCTCCATTTAATTAATTAATTTTAAACTATGGTGCCAGAATAACAGTGCGAGTTGTGCTGGGGTGGAAATGCAGGCTTTCACATGCAGGCAGGCCTTTAGATGTGGAGATCCATTGTTAGAAGGAAATGTGAATTCCACCACAAAACAACAGTATCCACAATGCCGAGTCACCTGAAAGTGAGGACCATACCAACCTAAGGAAGGAGTGGGGGGCTGCAACAGGACAAGTCTTCCAATGCAGTGAGGCTACAATCGCTGTCCCAAACCACCAATACCCCTCCACGTAATGTTTTGGTCCACATTCAGAAATAGGGTTCAGAATATTCACAGTTCAGTTTGCAGCCCAAAACCACATAATTAAGTCAAAATAGTCAGGTACATCCAACAACTCATTGTACTAGAATAGATGGTTTCTAGAGTCCTGTTCTAGAGTTCAAGAATGGTTCTAGAGTCCTGTTTAATGCAGTGATTGGACAGCTAGACAGAGAGTCAGTATGTGTTGCTAGGCGAGGTGAGTGGAAGAGGGCATGTCTTCACCAGAACGTCCACACCTCCAGCTCCATGACGTGGAAGTCGTCTCTTTCCGAGAGGCAGCAGTTGTTGAAGGTGTAACATGGGCTACTCCTGCCCAGGTACAGCATCTCATCCAGCCACAGGCCAAAGTGACCACTGGGGAAGAGAGAGCGAGAAACTCAGTTCCTTGTTCATTGTTTTAGAGTAAAGTAATGTGTTCTCCTAAACATATTGACACATACACGATATATACAAGAGTATGTGGACACCCCTTCAAATTAGTGGATTTTGCTATTTCAGCCACACCTGTTGCTGACAGGTGTATAGAATCGAGCACACAGTCATGCAATCTCCATAGACAAACATTGGCAGTAGAATGGCCTTACTGAAGAGCTCAGTGACTTTCAACGTGGCACCGTCATAGGATGCCACCTTTCCAACACATCAGTTCATCACATTTCTGCCCTGCTAGAGCTGCCCTGGTCAACTGTAAGTGCTGTTATTGTGAAGTGGAAACGTCTAGGAGCAACAACGGCTCAGCCGCGAAGTGGTAGGCCAAGCTCACAGAACGGGACCGCCGAGTGCTGAAGAGCGTAAAAATCGTCTGTCCTCGGTTGCAACACTCACTACAGAGTTCCAAACTGACTCTGGAAGCAACGTCAGCACAATAACTGTTTGTCGGGAGCTTCATGAAATGGGTTTCCATGGCCAAGCAGCCGTACACAAGCCTAACGCCTCAATCACACAGACAGCGTCATTGCATTTTGGCACACCAGAAGGACATTCCTTTCCAATGGAACGCTGCATTAGCCTTGCAGCATTGCGTTGCAGAGGCAGTTGCAATGCGTTCTGTGTGGTGTATACGTTGGATTTATCGAACGTATGCGTCAAACTGTATGCATAGATGGCTTGACAGAAATGGTAGCAGAAGGTGAATGTTGAACTTTTGTTGCACACATATCCAGATGATGCTGCGTACCATTTTGCCTAAAAACACTGTCGGTGTGATCAAGGCGTAACATCACCATGCGCAATGCCAAGCGTCGGCTGGAGTGGTGTAAAGCTCACCGCCATTAGACTCTGGAGCAGTGGAAACGCGTTCTCTGGAGTGATGAATCACACTTCACCATCTGGCAGTCCGACGGACAAATCTGGGTTTGGCGGATGCCAGGATAAAGCTACCTGCCCCAATGCATAGTGCCAACTGTAAAGTTTGGTGGAGGAGGAATAATGGTCTGGGGCTGTTTTTCATGGTTTCGGGCTAAGCCCCTTTGTTCCAGTGAAGGGAAATCTTAAAGCTACAGCATACAATGACATTCTAGAAGATTCTGTGCTTCCAACTTTGTGGCAACAGATTGGGGAAGGCCCTTTCCTGTTTCAGCATGGAAATGCCCCCATGCCCAACGAATGGAAGCATGTCCCCGCAGCAATGTTCCAACATCTAGTGGAGGCTGTTATTGCAGCAAAGGGGGGACCAACTCCATATTAATGCCGATGATTTTGGAATTATATGTTCGACAAGCAGGTGTCCACATACTTTTGGTCATGTAGTGTAGCTGTGGCACCAATGTGCAGTACGTGTCAAGCAAACAGAAATAACATCAGCATCAAGAAAACCATAACCTAAGACATATTGGTATGACTGTGAGTGACCCCACCTTCCTCCTCCGATAGCAAAAGAGTCCAGGTCTCCCTTTATGAAGAAGGAGTTTTCTCCAGTCCACCTGAAACACTGTGGGAAGTGACAAGGACAGAGTCAGTATAGGATACCAACACAGTAGTACTTTTTGTGCTTATGAATGAACTTGCCCTTCTGTAATGCTATGCATATACAGTACACTATTGACAGCAATGAGTTCCTACACGTTGTTTGTGCATAAAAAGCAGAAAGGGACCTTTTTCTTAATCCACAGTCATGCATTGAATCAATGATGTGACGTTGGTAGAGACCTTGATGTGAATAGTAATTTGGTTGCTATGGAAACTCCTACAATATTATGTCAGCAAGATTTGAAACAAATAGTATCATATTTTCAGTTAGTTTGCAAAACAACAATCCTGCAGCGATACCTTAAAAAGCCACATTTCAGATTAGAACATGTGGGAGAGAACTGTATGGCAATGGTTGTGAGTGTAGTGTATGCATTATTATACAACGTGTGGGTCTAATCCTGAATGCTGATTGGTTAAAACCGCATTCCAGCCGGTGTCTATTCCACAAATAGCCACCGGCTAAATCTATGACGTTAAAATGCCTATTTATTCTGTTCCATCTGACTGCGCAATCCACTGTCTCATCAGCCCAGCCAGGCAATTTATAAACTTGATCTCCATTATAAAAAGCATCTAGATATTATCTCACATTTCTTTTAGACTAACATTTCGTTTTCAACAGTGGAGATTTGTATAAACTTTGCTGTCTGTCTCTCCGACATTTGCAACAATGTTTCAATATTCAAATTTGATCTACTGCTGTCCCATAGTAATGAACGTGTCGGGAGTCGGGACGAGACAGACAGGCAGGCGGTGTTTCTCAGCCAGTCGAAATCATGAATCAGCTTGCATCGTTTTTATGGATATATACAAAAAAATGTCAATTGAATAAAGGTAAAATGAAACGCAGCTAATTTGCAGTCTTTCCAGCTTCAGTTTGAAGTGATTGTGTTACTGTAGCTGTGTTGTTGGCTAGCTCCTCTGAACAACAGTGTCCTGACGAGAGAGCACATTTTCTATGTCAGGCGAAATCATGCCTCATTAGCTCATTGTATGCATGCATTATGTATGCACGCATGACTGTAAGTCCCTTTGGATAAAAGCGTCTGCTAAATGGCATATTATTATTATTATTATTATGGACGTATCCAAATAAAATGTCACTAGAAAACAACTTAAACAAATGCAAATGCAGCTACTTTGCTTTTATTCTGGCTGCACTTTTTGAGGTGACTGTAAGTTAGCCATAGTTGGCTAGCTCGCAAGCAAGGGATAAGAATGTTGCCAGCCAGCATGGCAATAGAACATTTAGAACGAATGACTGGGTTGAGTCCATAGATACAGAACAAAAAGACTGAACGACTGGGTCGCGTCTCTATCAACCCTAGATTTGTGTCGGGACTATATCTTGTGGAAGAATGAAATTGTTTGAATAAATTAATCAAAATAACGTTTTCATGAAAATATGTAAATCATTATTTGAATATGTTGGTAACCAATTGTATAAAAGTGATGATGCCCGAGAAGCCGGTGTTTGGAGGATATATTGGCTCGACTTTGTCTTGGGCCTAACAACACCTGTGCCAATATATCCTCCAAACACCGGCTTCTCGGGCATTACCACTTCATAGTGCGTGTATGTGTGTGTGTCATAGTTTGTTTGTGTCATGAGGTGTGTGTGTGTGTGTCATAGTGTGTGTATGTGTGTATTATGGATGATTTTCTAGTACATATGTTGTAGAATGAAACACCTACAGTGGGGAGAACAAGTATTTGATACACTGCCGATTTTGCAGGTTTTCCTTCTTACAAAGCATGTAGAGGTCTGTAATTTTTATCATAGGTACACTTGAACTGTGAGAGACGGAATCTAAAACAAAAATCCAGAAAATCACATTGTATGATTTTTAAGTAATTAATTTGCATTTTATTGCATGACATACAGTGGGGGAAAAAAGTATTTAGTCAGCCACCAATTGTGCAAGTTCTCCCACTTAAAAAGATGAGAGAGGCCTGTAATTTCCATCATAGGTACACGTCAACTATGACAGACAAAATGAGAATTTTTTTTCCAGAAAATCACATTGTAGGATTTTTTATGAATTTATTTACAAATTATGGTGGAAAATAAGTATTTGGTCACCTACAAACAAGCAAGATTTCTGGCTCTCACAGACCTGTAACTTCTTCTTTAAGAGGCTCCTCTGTCTTCCACTCGTTACCTGTATTAATGGCACCTGTTTGAACTTGTTATCAGTATAAAAGACACCTGTCCACAACCTCAAACAGTCACACTCCAAACTCCACTACGGCCAAGACCAAAGAGCTGTCAAAGGACATCAGAAACAAAATTGTAGACCTGCACTAGGCTGGGAAGACTGAATCTGCAATAGGTAAGCAGCTTGGTTTGAAGAAATCAACTGTGGGAGCAATTATTAGGAAATGGAAGACATACAAGACCACTGATAATCTCCCTCGATCTGGGGCTCCACGCAAGATCTCACCCCGTGGGGTCAAAATGATCACAAGAACGGTGAGCAAAAATCCCAGAACCACACGGGGGGACCTAGTGAATGACCTGCAGAGAGCTGGGACCAAAGTAACAAAGCCTACCATCAGTAACACACTACGCCCCCAGGGACTCAAATCCTGCAGTGCCAGACGTGTCCCCCTGCTTAAGCCAGTACATGTCCAGGCCCGTCTGAAGTTTGCTAGAGTGCATTTGGATGATCCAGAAGAGGATTGAGAGAATGTCATATGGTCAGATGAAACCAAAATATAACTTTTTGGTAAAAACTCCAACTCGTCGTGTTTGGAGGACAAAGAATGCTGAGTTGCATCCAAAGAGCACCATACCTACTGTGAAGCATGGGGGTGGAAACATCATGCTTTGGGGCTGTTTTTCTGCAAAGGGACCAGGACGACTGATCCGTGTAAAGGAAAGAATGAATGGGGCCATGTATCGTGAGATTTTGAGTAAAAAACCTCCTTCCATCAGCAAGGGCATTGAAGATGAAACGTGGCTGGGTCTTTCAGCATGACAATGATCCCAAACACACCACCCGGGCAACGAAGGAGTGGCTTCGTAAGAAGCATTTCAAGGTCCTGGAGTGGCCTAGCCAGTCTCCAGATCTCAACCCCATAGAACATTTTTGGAGGGAGTTGAAAGTCTGTGTTGCCCAGCGACAGCCCCAAAACATCACTGCTCTAGAGGAGATCTGCATGGAGGAATGGGCCAAAATACCAGCAACAGTGTGTGAAAACCTTGTGAAGACTTACAGAAAACGTTTGACCTGTGTCATTGCCAACAAAGGGTATATAACAAAGTATTGAGAAACTTTTGTTATTGACCAAATACTTATTTTCCACCATAATTTGCAAATAAATTCATAAAAAATCTTACAATGTGATTTTCTGGATTTTTTTTCTCATTTTGTCTGTCATAGTTGACGTGTACCTATGATGAAAATGACAGGCCTCTCTCATCTTTTTAAGTGGGAGAACTTGCACAATTGGTGGCTGACTAAATACTTTTTTCCCCCACTGTAAGTATTTGATACATCAGAAAAGCAGAACTTAATATTTGGTACAGAAACCTTTGTTTGCAATTACAGAGATCATACGTTTCCTGTAGGTCTTGACCAGGTTTGCACACAATGCAGCAGGGATTTTGGCCCACTCCTCCATACAGACCTTCAGGTTTCGGGGCTGTCGCTGGGCAATACGGACTTTCAGCTCCCTCCAAAGATTTTCTATTGGGTTCAGGTCTGGAGACTGGCTAGGCCACTCCAGGACCTTGAGATGCTTCTTACGGAGCCACTCCTTAGTTGCCCTGGCTGTGTGTTTCAGGTCGTTGTCATGCTGGAAGACCCAGCCACGACCCATCTTCAGTGCTCTTACTGAGGGAAGGAGGTTGTTGGATCTCGCGATACATGGCCCCATCCATCCTCCCCTCAATACGGTGCAGTCGTCCTGTCCCCTTTGCAGAAAAGCATCCCCAAAGAATGATGTTTCCACCTCCATGCTTCACGGTTGGGATGGTATTCTTGGGGTTGTACTCATCCTTCTTCTTCCTCCAAACACGGCGAGTGGAGTTTAGACCAAAAAGCTCTATTTTTGTCTCATCAGACCACATGACCTTCTCCCATTCCTCCTCTGAATCATCCAGATGGTCATTGGCAAACTTCAGACGGGCCTGGACATGCGCTGGCTTGAGCAGGGGGACCTTGCGTGGGCTGCAGGATTTTAATCCATGACGGCGTAGTGTGTTACTAATGGTTTTCTTTGAGACTGTGGTCCCAGCTCTCTTCAGGTCATTGACCAGGTCCTGCCGTGTAGTTCTGGGCTGATCCCTCACCTTCCTCATGATCATTCATGCCCCATGAGGTGAGATCTTGCATGGACCCCCAGACCGAGGGTGATTGACAGTCATCTTGAACTTCTTCCATTTTCTAATAATTGCGCCAACAGTTGTTGCCTTCTAACCAAGCTGCTTGCCTATTGTCCTGTAGCCCATCCCAGCCTTGTGCAGGTCTACAATTCTATCCCTGATGTCCTTACACAGCTCTCTGGTCTTGGCCATTGTGGAGAGGTTGGAGTCTGTTTGATTGAGTGTGTGGACAGGTGTCTTTTATACAGGTAACGAGTTCAAACAGGTGCAGTTAATACAGGTAATAGTGGAGAACAGGAGGGCTTCTTAAAGAAAAACTAACAGGTCTGTGAGAGCCGGAATTCTTACTGGTTGGTAGGTGATCAAATACTTACAGTGGGGAAAAAAAGTATTTAGTCAGCCACCAATTGTGCAAGTTCTCCCACTTAAAAAGATGAGAGAGGTCTGTAATTTTCATCATAGGTACACGTCAACTATGCCAGACAAATTGAGAATTTTTTTCTCCAGAAAATCACATTGTATGATTTTTAATGAATTTATTTGCAAATTATGGTGGAAAATAAGTATTTGGTCACCTACAAACAAGCAAGATTTCTGGCTCTCACAGACCTGTAACTTCTTCTTTAAGAGGCTCCTCTGTCCTCCACTCGTTACCTGTATTAATGGAACCTGTTTGAACTTGTTATCAGTATAAAAGACACCTGTCCACAACCTCAAACAGTCACACTCCAAACTCCACTATGGCCAAGACCAAAGAGCTGTCAAAGGACACCAGAAACAAAATTGTAGACCTGCACCAGGCTAGGAAGACTGAATCTGCAATAGGTAAGCAGCTTGGTTTGAAGAAATCAACTGTGGGAGCAATTATTAGGAAATGGAAGACATACAAGACCACTGATAATCTCCATCGATCTGGGGCTCCACGCAAGATCTCACCCCGTGGGGTCAAAATGATCACAAGAACGGTGAGCAAAAATCCCAGAACCACACGGGGGGACCTAGTGAATGACCTGCAGAGAGCTGGGACCAAAGTAACAAAGCCTACCATCAGTAACACACTACGCCGCCAGGGACTCAAATCCTGCAGTGCCAGACGTGTCTCCCTGCTTAAGCCAGTACATGTCCAGGCCCGTCTGAAGTTTGCTAGAGTGCATTTGGATGATCCAGAAGAGGATTGGGAGAATGTCATATGGTCAGATGAAACGGTCTCAACCCCATAGAAAATCTTTGGAGGGAGTTGAAAGTCTGTGTTGCCCAGCGACAGCCCCAAAACATCACTGCTCTAGAGGAGATCTGCATGGAGGAATGGGCCAAAATTCCAGCAACAGTGTGTGAAAACCTTGTGAAGTCTTACAGAAAACGTTTGACCGGTGTCATTGCCAACAAAAGGTATATAACAAAGTATTGAGAAACTTTTGTTATTGACCAAATACTTATTTTCCACCATAATTTGCAAATAAATTCATTAGAAATCTTACAATGTGGTTTTCTGATTTTTTTTTCTTCTCAATTTGTCTGTCATAGGTGACGTGTACCTATGATGAAAATTACAGGCCTCTCATCTTTTTAAGTGGGAGAACTTGCACAATTGGTGGCTGACTAAATACTTTTTTCCCCCACTGTATGTCATGCAATAAAATGCAAATTAATTACTTAAAAATCATACAATGTGATTTTCTGGATTTTTGTTTTAGATTCCGTCTCTCACAGTTGAAGTGTACCTATGATAAAAATTACAGACCTCTACATGCGTAGTGTGTTACTGATGGTAGGCTTTGATACTTTGGTCCCAGCTCTCTGCAGGTCATTCACTAGGTCCCCCCGTGTGGTTCTGGGATTTTTGCTCACCGTTCTTGTGATCATTTTGACCCCACGGGGTGAGATCTTGCGTGGAGCCCCAGATCGAGGGAGATTATCAGTGGTCTTGTATGTCTTCCATTTCCTAATAATTGCTCCCACAGTTGATTTCTTCAAACCAAGCTGCTTACCTATTGCAGATTCAGTCTTCCCAGCCGTGTGCAGGTCTACAATTTTGTTTCTGGTGTCCTTTGACAGCTCTTTGGTCTTGGCCATAGTGGAGTTTGGAGTGTGACTGTTTGAGGTTGTGGACAGGTGTCTTTTATACTGATAACAAGTTCAAACAGGTGCCATTAATACAGGTAACGAGTGGAGGACAGAGAAGCCTCTTAAAGAAGAAGTTACAGGTCTGTGAGAGCCAGAAATCTTTTTTTTTCTTCTCAATTTGTCTGTCATAGTTGACGTGTACCTATGATGAAAATTACAGGCCTCTCTCATCTTTTTAAGTGGGAGAACTTGCACAATTGGTGGCTGACTAAATACTTTTTTCCCCCACTGTACATAATTGTTTGAGTTACGCCACTAATAAGATACAGAGGCCCCATTTAGAGAAGCGCAAGTAGCCCTCGTGAGTAAAACAACGTGGCACTGAAAGAAGTTAATAATTTGCCTTAAGGGGGTAACTGTATATTCTATGTAAGCATGACTATGCATTTGTATTTGTATAAAAGGAGATCTTTGAGCCAAGGAGAGGCAGGTGTTCCATGGAGCAGCTCGGCTTTGTTACACAACAATAAAGTCTACATTTTGGAATCACAAGCTCCAGTTTCTTGAGAGATATTTTAGAGTTGGCTACTTTTGAGTCAAATATTTCTACGCCATAAATGGCGAGCGTTGGCAGGAGTTGGAAACAGGGACCAGAGACGGTGGACATCTGTGGCTGTGAAACGGCTTGGACGGACCATACAAACAAAGCGGCCGCTTTAAAAAAAAAAAGGTAAGCCAAGTTCTTACTTAGTAAGAATATAGTATAAAGTTTGTGTGGTTCGATCCAGGGCCCGGCCTCAGCTGCAGAATACCAAGTAGGTCTCTCCAAATTTAAGAACCAGAAAATTAGAGACTGGGAGCTTTTGGATTTAAGAATACATGTCGATGTCACTCTGTTGTTCGTCTGAACCGTCTGTTCAATTCATTTGATTAATCCTGCTGATTGCTTTGTCTGGGTTGCTTTGGCATGGGCGGCTGTCCATCTGTTTGAACGATCAGAGAATAAATTGGTAAAAAGCCCTACAGATACCGCTCTAAACGTGTCGAGGAAGTGTATTGTTTAGAGGGCTGCTTAGGTAGGCAGAAATCCTGTGCAATACCGCTTTTTTCTGTGTCGAAAAATCAGAAAAAAGGGCTGAATTTACAGGTCGCTTAGGAAAGCGTAAGATAGAAGTCCAGTAAGCGTGTGTCGAGGAAGTGAATCACCTAAAGGGCTATATAGGTAGATAGAAATCCTGTATAAAAATGTATTTCTTGTGTCGGGGAAAGTGAATCAGAAAGGGTCGATCAGGTAAAAGGATAGGTCATCCGGAGTAGGTGACATAAATTGGAGTTAACACCGGTCATCCTGAGTAGGTGAACGGGTTAAACAGCCACTAAGGCTTCAAAATATAGAGAAAGTGTTATATAGAGTAGGTCTGATCATCTCATGTGGATGAGTGGTTTGCTTGGGCTACTGTGAGTCATTCAACTGTCTGATTCATTTGGGCACAAGTGGCTGCTCATCTGTGTGAGTGAGAATAATAAGAAATCCTGCAAGTAATAGCCTTTTCTGTAAGGAAAGGAACTATATTTGAGGTCGTTTGAAGCTTCTGCCTGGTGGAGAAAGGGTATGCCCAATCTCGCATTAGGAAAGAGAATAATTAATGTTATGGGGATATACATTTACCAACTGAGTGGAAAATTCACATTACTAGGAGGGGTATGAGGAATCCTGTTGGAGGAACAGGTCACGTGTACCGGTGTGATCATATGACGTCTATGCATTGTATTTTGGTCAATCTTTCAGGGTATGTTTCTGACATATTTGGAAACTTTAGAGGTGATGTAGGATTGTGATAAATTGACTACAGTTAAATAATAACTGGAATAGGGTTAAACATTCCAAATTTGGGCCCTTTGATAGAATAAAATATTCCTGTAGGTTATACAAATAGTAATTAAGCGCGTTTGAGAACAACATTGTATGAATGTGGAATGAGAGTGGTATAATGGTGTAAATGAGTCGCACTCTGAAGTTTGAATGATGAGATATAGAGGTGTGTATGATAATTATATATACGTTTGAATAATAAGCTTTTCATGTAAATGATATCTTGGAGTTTCCTACAACAATGCCTGTCATAGAATTTTGTAAGATCAGTGAATAGTGACCAGCCTATACGATTCTGGGAGGATTCTATGACTGAGGGGAAGGATTTGGGTAATTTGTTGTTCGTTCCGCTGAGACTAGATTGTGATTAACTGATTTGTGGCAATAAAGAATCATTAGAAACATGAATGGTTTGGTAGATGTGAATATATTAGAATATAATGAATTTTATGTGAGTGTAATTTATTACGAGGGATTGGATAAAATAATAGGTGCTGATTTGCACACCCAAAAACATAGACGTATGTGAGGGGTGGGAGAAAGTACATAGATCATTTGATAGAAAAAAGAGTAGGCATTATGATAACTATCTATCATTTTGAAGCAAAAGTGAGTAAAGGAATTTTAGTATAATAGGGGGAAAGAACATAATCAATTTGATTGAATTCGTTAGATCTGTTTCCAAATTAATGAATGTAGATTTGACTTGTTGAATGCTAAAGCTTCTAGCTTGTGAAATCTTAGTCCTGTAAAGCTATTTTCTGATAAAGTGTGGTATGTGCCAGATACTAAAACTACTGACCATTATCATTGGAATAAAGGAGGATTTACTTGTCATTTCAATAAAGCATAGATTCTACATCGCTGATTAGAGTCTAGGTTTTCTAAGTATAGTTCAACTATGGTTGTGGGTTGTTTAGATTGACGGAACAGTCAGGATAAGACTGGACGATTTAGCAGCCTGCGTCTTTTCAGACTGAAGGACTCACTTATTCAACGGGAAAGAGGGAGGAGTGACTATAGTCCAATCAGAAAGGACAGTTACATACATTTGAATAGCGGACTGGCAATTGCGATAGAGTTATGGCCATAATTTGAATTGTTTAGGTAGACTGGAATGAAAGTAACGTCTTTTAATAATATGAATACAAATATACTATTAGTTATTGTTGGGTTGTGAATACACTTTACTAATGCCATGTTTTAGTTCTCGGGTAAAAGAGAGTCGTACTTGCTTGACTGTATCGAGCTGAAAGAGATATTTGAAGCAAGTCTGAATAGTTGGATGGAAAACATTTATTTGACAAACTCTAATTGTTATTACTTTATTCTATAGTTTGCGTGATACCAGTGATGTATGCAAATAGTTAATGAATTCTAAAATAATAATTTGTTTTTGCTACGTGGACCAGTGGAGTGTAGGTAGTTTTAACTATTATGCTGATGGGATAGTACCGACTTAATGTAGGTTCTAGATTTGTTCAACAACAAGTTTGTATTTTAAAACTAAATTAATGCAATAGGCTACAATTACAACATCAGAAAAAGGCACAATCTAATGCGAAACAGTTATTACATATGTCATTAATCCAGTAATGATACAAAGCTAGAAGGATAACAATAGAGGGAGAGTGACCCAAAAAAGGCTGGCTTAATTACACCACCACCACACACAGAAGGGGGGCAGTATTCTCAGGTTACGAGTCTAGTCTCAATAACAGGGAATGTAGAGACAGAAGCAGAAAAAAGGAAGCAGCAGGTTTTCACACCAGGAAGAGGAGAACAATCACAGTTAGATATAGACTGTGATGGATGAACAAGAGTATGATGGGAAAAAGGATGTGGAGAAGACAAGTAATGAGGAGGATGAAGAACTTGAACAGTATGCTAACTCTGAACAAGAAACAGAAAGAGATCCAGAGGGGGATCCACTGATGACAATACTGTTCAGGACATCATTGATGGAAGCAATGCCAACCCCTGTCAGAAGCCAATTAGAAGATGTGGTGGGACTAACGGCAGAATCCCGCAAAGAATTCTGCGACCATATTATACACGCAATGGAGAAATACAGGAGGGATGAACGGAAATTGGTGAAGCAATGGAGAGAGATTCTGAGAAAACTGGGACAGTTGCAGCTGGAAGAGATGGTAAGAAAGGACAAAACACAAGCTACACCTGTCGTCCAGGAAGGTCAACAACCACTGCCTCAGCAGCAAGGCCAAAGAGCTCCTACCTTACCAGTAGTGAATGTGTACACACAACAATCCCTTGGACAGTGGCAAAACCAGAATGGTGGACCAAGAAGACCAGGGGTCTGCTGGGGGTGCAGTCAATCAGGACATACAAGAAGGGATTGCCCTACCAAGCCGTGATGGCCTAGGCAACCACAACATGGTAATTGGCAAGGGAATGGGCCCAGCTTGGCTGAATGGCAGCAGTCTTAGAACTTGTGGGAAGGACCAAATCAGGATAGCTAGAGAAGCATTTATTTTGGACTAGGGGACAGGAGACGGCACTAACTTATTGTGGGTTCTGGATTGGTTACACAACAATTTATATTTTTACTAAAAACAAAGCAACAGGTTGAAATTATTAGATTACTGGAAAGTGGTTATGGGTTTGTTATGTTATAGGTGTATATTCCACTTAATGAAACATGATAAATGTCTGATGTGTCTTGGTTGGGAGTCTTTTCTGGGATTGATGAAAATCCCATACAGAATGAATGATGAAGGAAATGTAGGAGACCCACGTCTCAAACAACATTTTAATAGATACTTGCGATCAAATTTCACTGATTCCTTACACGGAGAAATTGACTGTATTTGAGGTTACGGAAAAGCCTCGGGGGTTGAAATCTTATGGGACTTTATGTTGTTTTATGTGCTCTGGATTGTGGAATTCATCGGGGAAGGGAGCAGTCACAAGTGATGTTCTTGAGGGTTTTCTGAGTAGGAGTAGATGTGGGAATAGAGAATTTCGAATTTCGATTGTTTGGACTGGTTAGGAGGTATCAAAATGTAAACTAACTAAATGTGTACTTTTTCTTCCAGGAAAAAGGGGGTAGTGATTTTCTCTTTTCTTTGAAATACTTTCAGAGACTATAAATAGGGCCTGGTCATTTTTGTTTGTTTATTGTTTTACTATATGGTGTTTAAATAACCACAAACAACCCACTTAGTATGAAATGTTAGCTGTATAGGATTTTTATTTGTATTTTAGTTTTTTTCACGGGATAGAAGTGAAATATCTTAAAGGGGCAAACACATGTAATTTGGGTTTTTATTTACTGAGGGATAAGTAAATACGTGTGATTTATTTTGAAAAGAGCTGTACTAAGGACTTACAGTATGCTCGGGATACAACATTTATGAAATGTTTTGATGGTTGTTAATGAGTAGTATACTATTGGATGGAACAATTCATTGAATGATTTCAATGACCTCTGCAATCTGTCCTGGCTTTATAGTGTGACCTGATCACCCGCACTGTAAATCCTAGAGGAATGCTGAATTGGGGGTTAGATATAATAAGGATAATTGTGAAGAAGTTTATAATTTGGAAAAAATCCTATATATTAGTCCAAACAGGACAAGGATGAAGTGAGAGAGTTAGTCCTGAAGGAGAGGTATTCCTTGAATAGTGTTATGGGATACAGTTAAGTAAAGATATGCTCAAAGGTTGTCATTTTAAGTTTAGTTATTATTTTTGGTTTGATAGACAATATTGTTGTTGTTTTGTTTTTTGAACACATGAATCACGATGTGATGCATGTGTCCTAGGGGGGAAGTTGGGCTTACAGAGGTTTTAATGTTTTATAATGGTTTTGTGGGGAAATATGCAAGGTGTATTAAGGATATGAGCAGTAGTAATAATGTGTTATGGGTTAGGTTAAATCTTTTTTTTGTTTTTGTGATAGGAGGCAGGGTGTAGAGGTGGTATGTCTATGAAATGAGTGGACTACAACAAGCTGGAAGAGGTGCGCTTCATAATCTCAAGGCTTCTCTTGACGGATGAGAGGACATAAGTAGCATACTGTGTCTCACCTAACCTAACAATGTTCTTAAGATTTTATTTTCATGGGTGAAGATAACTCTGCCCAACTGAGTAGGAGAATCTGAGTATTTTCTGCGCCCTGGAGACTATGTGATGGCAAAAGACTACAGAAGAAAGACCTGGAAAGACCCTATGTGGAGGGGCCCATACCAGGTGTTGTTGGCTACCTCAATGATGGTAAAAGTGGGAGAGACCGATACTTAGATCCATGTTTCCCACTATAGGAGTGTTCCAACCCCAGGAGAGGAAGACGGCCTGCCATTGGGTAGCATTGTTGTCTTTTGTGTTTGTCTGTGTTTGTGTGTCTTTGCAGCAGTGACTCCGAGCTTCCCTATGGGTAGGCTGGTAGAAGGACACTCTTCGCAGACCGATGTCGATAGATTGAGAGGGACTCTGGCTGATCCGGAGACCCTAGTGACGGAAGAAGATGAACAGCTAAAGTGACCATACATCGGCGTCCAGGTTACACCAACGGCGGTACGGATAGAGGGGAGCGTGACCTGGTATCATCTAAACCATTGTACCAGAGTGAGGGAACCGATGACTGAGAGATGAGAGAGCTGAGGATGCTGGCGAGAATCAGATGGGTCAGGATGGCAATTACTGATGAGCTACGTGTTCTTGCTGATTCCCTCGGTGGAGGGGCAGATCTTCGAGACCTTCTAGATCTTCGAGATATTCCAGACATTCAAGACGCACCAGATATCCCATCATTGATTTTTCTGCACTTGACTAGTTCCCTGAGAATAAGGGGAATGGGGTACTGATAATAGTAAAGAGCAGAAGAACAAGACATAGAAGGGATATAGACAGGATTAAAATGTATATTCTTGCACAGGCAGGAACCATAACTAAAATGCAGGAAGGGATCACTATTAAAATTCAAGGGTTAAATTATTATTGGTGTGGGAGGAACCAGCACAAAGAGTATGGGGAAGTCACATGGGGTAGTGTGACCTTAAGATAATGAAAGAAAGAGACAGGTGAAATCATGTGTGGTCCTCTGTAGCTCAGCTGGTAGAGCACGGCGCTTGTAACGCCAAGGTAGTGGGTTCGATCCCCGGGACCACACAAAAATGTATGCACGCATGACTGTAAGTCGCTTTGGATAAAAGCGTCTGCTAAATGGCATATTATATTATTATTATTATTATCATAGACATGAGGAGAACAGCCCAAGATTTAGATATACAATTTGATGTAGTATTTAGTGTTAGATTTCCAGGGGGAAGTGTTGTTGGAGTAGTTATTCCTTGGGAAAGTGCACTAAACCCTGTACATGTTAGAGCCATACCAGATACAGAAGAAAGGGAATTGAAGGAGCCGTTAAACAATGATTGGTATAGATGAGTACAATATATTACATTAAAATTAAATAAAGAAAATAGTCTAATATGCACCACATCTCCGTTTTAAATAATTAACAGTAGTTCAACATTTCCACAGTTACTAGGACTGTGCTATGATTCAACCACAACTTTTGTCATATAAAGGAACTCGGAAAGACCATATTGGCCAGCAGAATGTTTGTAATATTTAGGAAATCCTAAATATGAACAATTTTATAATCAACCAGGATGGGGAGAGAAGGGTAAGCAATTAGTGGTTAGAATAGGAACAAGGAAAAGGAAAGCGGCAGAGTAATGTCAAATAGACTATGAGCAAATATATAGGAGTGGTACAATAAAACAATTGGGTTATAGAATTTGGAAGAATACAAGGGAGAATGTGAAATATGTGGCATTTATACAGATAGCCTTTGGAATACAGGGACCCCTTAAGGAAAAAAAATTCAGGCAGCAGGATCAAGTATTAGAAATTGGTATTAAGAATGATTGGTGAAACATAATAACTTGCTTATAGGGATGTTTTGGATTGGAAATGAACTCAACTAAATTGTTAAGATTTGTCCTTTCTCGAGGTTGCAACGGATGGTGTCTTGATGCATAGCAGAGATAATTTGGTCCAGAACGGTGTGAACCTCAATAAAAAGGTAGGGCGGCAGGTGGCTTAGTGCGTTGTGCCAGTAACCGAAAGGTCGATGGTTCTAATCCCCGAGCCGACTAGGTAAAAATCTGTCGATGTGCCCTTGAGCAAGGCACTTATCCCTAATTGCTCCTGTAAGTCGCTCTGGATAAGAGCGTCTGCTAAATGACTAAAATCTAATTATACACTGCTATATTTATAGTAATTTAGACTAGGAATGCATTAAGATGCTGATCTGTTGTAATTCTCGTTATGAGGAAGTTAATGCTAGAATTATGATAATATAAATATACATTCTGCCAGTGTCAATATGTGCCAAGGTGAGAGTTTTAACTTTGAATGATGGAACCAAGGTGACTAACTAAGAATTGTCATTCTAAAGTTGTTTTGGGTAATTAATTTGATTATGATTACGAATTATAAGTGGACTGATTGATCTGAATAAGTTATTCATATGTTAATAACTAAGGATGTTGACATTGCAATTCATGGATTAGATATTGATATTGATTCTTTTGATTGTTATACTACTTGTGATATGGGTAAAAATGTTATGTGAGCTAGATTTGTTGACACTATTCTTAACATGTCCTAGATATTATGGTTAAAACAAAGTTGCATTTATTTCTTATATATTTTGATGTGTTAGGATACTACCACGTATATTGGAAATGCTACAACAAAACAAAAAGGGGAGCAATGGTTACAATGCTCAACAGAAAAACTTGGAGGTTAATTTAGAGGAAAACCTTTTGGATTTGTACCCAGTACCTGACTGGGATCCTTGTCCTCATCAGGATGGGTCAGACAATGAGGAAGATACATTGGTCTGAATATATATTCTTATAAAAATTTAACCACAGATGGCAAGGCTAAGAATAAGTATATGCACATGCTTACACTCATTTTATGTTAACTTTTGTTTTATTGGTTGGGACTTAGAAGGTCCCAAAAGGGGGGAATATATGGATGATTTTCTAGTACATATGTTGTAGAATGAAACACCTATATGCCTTAAATGCTTATGGATTAAGAACCAATTAAAGGGTTAAAACAGAGCAGAGACATTTCTTTAGTGCAAACGCTGTGCTTTTGATAACTCCCTGCAGCTGGTCTGGGTATGTCAATGACATGTGATGGAGATACAACTCCTCGTGGTGGCTGTGTGGAGATTGGAGTAACAATGGAACTAGTGTTATCATTTGTTTGTGCTTATGACCTGACACATAGCCACATGCACATAATCGCAAGGATCCTGGGAGGATGCTTTTTGGGATTGGCTTAAATGTATGTGGTTGAGAATGGGTTATGGCCATTACATGTTTAAACCATGTTTAAGTATTAATTGATATGTTTTATAATGTGTTATGAAAGTTTAAGGGTAAAACAGAATGAACATGATTGATACTTTGTACTCCAGATGCATGTCTGGATAGTGAATATAGTCAATACAGAGTGTGATTGTTCTTTAACGTACGTATGTACATAATTTTTTGAGTCACGCTACTAATAAGATACAGAGGCCCCATTTAGAGAAGCGCAAGTAGCCCTCGTGAGTAAAACAACGTGTGGCACTGAAAGAAGTTAATAATTTGCCTTAAGGGGGTAACTGTATATTCTATGTAAGCATGACTATGCATTTGTATTTGTATAAAAGGAGATCTTTGAGCCAAGGAGAGGCAGGTGTTCCATGGAGCAGCTCGGCTTTGTTACGCAATAATAAAGTCTACATTTTGGAATCACAAGCTCCAGTTTCTTGAGAGATATTTTAGAGTTGGCTACTTTTGAGTCAAATATTTCTACGACAGTATCATAGTGCGTGTGTGTCAGTGTGTGTGTGTGTGTCATAGTGCGTGTGTGAGTCATAGTGCGTGTGTGTGAGTCATAGTGCGTGTGTGTGAGTCATAGTGCGTGTGTGTGAGTCATAGTGCGTGTGTGTGAGTCATAGTGCGTGTGTGTGAGTCATAGTGCGTGTGTGTGAGTCATAGTGCGTGTGTGTGAGTCATAGTGCGTGTGTGTGAGTCATAGTGCGTGTGTGTGAGTCATAGTGTGTGTGTGTGTGAGTCATAGTGTGTGTGTGTGTGAGTCATAGTGTGTGTGTGTGTGAGTCATAGTGTGTGTGTGTGTGTGTGAGTCATAGTGTGTGTGTGTGAGTCATAGTGTGTGAGTCAGTGTGTGTGTGTGTGTGAGTCAGTGTGTGTGTGTGTGTGTGTGAGTCATAGTGTGTGTGTGTGTGAGTCATAGTGTGTGAGTCAGTGTGAGTCATAGTGTGTGTGTGTGTGTGAGTCATAGTGTGTGTGTGTGAGTCATAGTGTGTGTGTGTGTCATAGCGTGTGTGTGTGAGTCATAGTGTGTGTGTGTCTTGGCTGACCTTGAAGCGAGGAAGCAGCATGTAGAGGAATGTCTCTCCTGTGCCATAGAAGGTCTCGCTCGGCCTCAGTGGGTGAGAGAGGTAGCTCCCAAACACCTGGGGCACAAAGAAACAAACCTACCATTAACCAAAACTCAACCCTCTGGTAACCAAACGAGACAGACGTCATACAATGGGGGACTTCATTAGGTGACCACAACAAACTCTGTATGCAAATCGGTATGTTATTCAAACTAACCCCACAGTATTCTTGACCTGTGGGTGTCCAAGTAAATAGTGCAAATGAAATGAAAAGCAGGTAGTCTATGGCACACGCTTCTGTGTAATCTCTTACACCTAAGTCAGACAGATATTCAAAATATTGAGGGTGGTGCGTGGAACATTAGGGGGTTGTTTGTAACTTGAAAATAACAAATCTGAGTACATAGAAAGGTCACCTGATTGAGCGAGTCCTTAATGACCATGAGTACAGGCGAGTCGCTGCCGTTCAGCCTCCGGTAGAGGGACTTGAGGCTGGAGCCGTGACGAGACGTGCTGTAAGCCAGCTGCCACGTGTGGCCCACTGTCCTGGGTGGCAGCTCCGCTGAGAGCTGGAGAAAGACGGAAAGATGGAGAAGGAGAAAGAGTGGCGGGAGAGGGGAGAATAGACACCTATTATGTTTAAGATGAGCGGAAAATAAAGTGTTAACGTGAAAAGGGGAAAGAAAGGGAGATACAGTGAGGGAAAAAAGTATTTGATCCCCTGCTGATTTTGTACGTTTGCCCACTGACAAAGACATGATCAGTCTATAATTTTAATGGTAGGTTTATTTGAACAGTGAGAGACAGAATAACAACAAAAACATCCAGAAAAACACATGTAAAAAATGTTATAAATTGATTTGCATTTTAATGAGGGAAATAAGTATTTGACCCCTCTGCAAAACATGTCTTAGTACTTGGTGGCAAAACCCTTGTTGGCAATCACAGAGGTCAGACGTTTTTTGAAGTTGGCCACCAGGTTTGCACACATCTCAGGAGGGATTTTGTCCCACTCCTCTTTGCAGATCTTCCCCAAGTCATTAAGGTTTTGAGGCTGACGTTTGGCAACTCAAACCTTCAGCTCCCTCCACAGATTTTCTATGGGATTAAGGTCTGGAGACTGGCTAGGCCAATCCAGGACCTTAATGTGCTTCTTCTTGAACTACTCGTTTGTTGCCTTGGCCGTGTGTTTTGGGTCATTGTCATGCTTGAATACCCATCCACAACCCATTTTCAGTGCCCTGGCTGAGGGAAGGAGGTTCTCACCCAAGATTTGACGGTACATGGCCCCGTCCATCGTCCCTTTGATGCAGTGAAGTTGTCCTGTCCCCTTAGCAGAAAAACACCCCCAAAGCATAATGTTTCCACCTCCATGTTTGACGGTGGGGATGGTGTTCTTGGGGTCATAGGCAGCATTCCTCCTCCTCCAAACACGGCAATTTGAGTTGATGCCAAAGAGCTCCATTTTGGTCTCATCTGACCACAACACTTTCACCCAGTTGGCAAACTTCAGACGGGCATGTATATGTGCTTTCTTGAGCAGGGGGACCTTGCGGGCGCTGCAGGATTTCAGTCCTTCACGGCGTAGTGTGTTACCAATTGTTTTCTTGGTGACAATGGTCCCAGCTGCCTTGAGATCATTGACAAGATCCTCCTGTGTAGTTCTGGGCTGATTCCTCACCGTTCTCATGATCATTGCAACTCCATGAGGTGAGATCTTGCATGGAGCCCCAGGCCGAGGGAGATTGACAGGTCTTTTGTGTTTCTTCCATTTGCGAATATTCGCACCAACTGTTGTCACCTTCTCACCAAGCTGCTTGGCAATGGTCTTGTAGCCCATTCCAGCCTTGTGTAGGTCTACAATCTTGTCCCTGACATCCTAAGGAGAGCTCTTTGGTCTTCGCCATGGTGGAGAGTTTGGAAACTGATTGATTGATTGCTTCTGTGGACAGGTGTCTTTTATACAGGTAACAAGCCGAGATTAGGAGCACTCCCTTTAAGAGTGTGCTACTGTTACGTGTGACGTGTTTTTACTTCGGTCCGGAGTCCTGGCAGCTGTAGCTGATTGACGAGAGTATACCTGTTTACCGTGTGAGCTCGAAGAGGGGGGTAGCGGACACTTGTTGTTTGGCTGTTTGGTTGTGTTAATTTATCTTTGTTTGTGTTCCAGCCGGTCCTCCTGATGTATTCCACTCTACCTAGGTCCTGGAGAAGGGAAAGGTAGATCTGCCCATGGGTGTACATTCCCACGTAGATAACCCATTGTTTTACACACTAGGTTAGCCGGGCGGGTGTCACCCTTGTATTTTTTGGTAAACAGGTAGGAAAGTGGGTTAGGATTTAGAGTGTGATAGGAAGGATTAGGTGTGTAGAAGAGGGACCTTTTGTTTATTTTCATTAATTGGACCCCGTTCCCAAATATTCCCTTCTCTTACCTTCCCTGGTTTGTTTGATTGATTTTTGTTTCATTACTGTTTCTTTATGGGTGTTGTATATTTTAAGTATCTTACTAAATGTCCCCCGAGGGCTAACCTTGAGATCTGGTTGTTGTCTGGTTATTTTAGCTCATTACACCCCACATTTCTTCCCCATCCATCTACTTTACCTTGTGTGCGCAGGCACTTACGTCTTCTCCTCAGACGAACTAAACCCGAGGGGAGAACGTAACAGCTACTAATCTCAGCTCGTTACCTGTATAAAAGACACCTGGGAGCCAGAAATCTTTCTGATTGAGTGGGGGTCAAATACTTATTTCCCTCATTAAAATGCAAATCAATTTATAACATTTTTGACATGCGTTTTTCTGGATTTTTTTTTGTTATTCTGTCTCTCACTGTTCAAATAAACCTACCATTAAAATGATAGACTGATCATTTCTTTGTCAGTGGGCAAACTTACAAAATCAGCAGGGGATCAAATACTTTTTTCCCTCACTGTAATTGTACTTAATTGTTTACAAGCATTTCGCTACACCCACAAAAACATCTGCTAAATATGTGTATGTGACCAATAAAATTTGATTTGAATTGTTACCCAGAAATTATATGATATTGAGATAAAAACGGCTGCATTGGAACTTTAAATCTCTCCACAGGAGGTCACTACCAGTGTTCTACCTCATACCTGACCCCCTTCATACCTGACCCCCTTCATACCTGACCCCCTTCATACCTAACCCCCTTCGTGAGACATGGCCACAGTAGGGGTTTAGAATATTGTCGGTACTCTACTCAGCACGAAGGTTCAGTAAATGAATGGCACTGTGTTTGACTGAAGGCCAGTACTGCTCGAGGGAGCCTGAGGCAGAAGTAGGAAAGTCAGGTTAAGTTTTAGACTCTGGATTGAACTTTAACCCCGGACCAAGTCAAAGCATTTGTGGAACTAGAGGCAAGAAGAGTAACGTGTGCAATTTCTTCTATATGTGTGGCACTGGCCAGCGACACGTCATGAGAAGCTGTCATTAATTTCCCATTTTGGATTAATTAAGTAATTATGTCTCTTTCTTATCTAAGAATGGATGAGATCTGTGAATGATCTTCCATTGTGAATGTGTGTGTGATTAGATGAGACGGAGCGTGTTTTGTGAAGTTCTGACATGTGTTTTGTCTGTGAATGTGTGCTCACACTCACCTCTCTGACAAGCGATGTGTCTAAGATGCGACTCTGGGCTGCGATCTCACACAGTCCCTCTGGATCTTTGTCGATGTCCAGAAGGAGTCTCCCACTACCATCCTCCACTGTCACCAGCTGCAACACAAGACACACAACCGAGTTATAAACCCATTAAAATCCCACTCTCGCCAAACCTTGACACACACATGTCGAACAACAACCCCTGACCCCACCTAAACTAGACACTTCTCAAACTTTTAAACAGTTGCCCAAACTTCCCCAGGCAAACATGTGCACAAGGGGTCTTTACTTAACGCTATAGTCAACGCTATACCTGTATGTCCATCAGGCCTTTCTTTATGACTCTCCTCAAAGACTCTAAAATACAGACTTACCTCCCAGTCTTCCCCAATAAAATACACACTTACCTCCCAGTCTTCCCCAATAAAATACACACTTACCTCCCAGTCTTCCCCAGTAAAATACACACTTACCTCCCAGTCTTCCCCAGTAAAATACACACTTACCTCCCAGTTTTCCCCAATAAAATACACACTTACCTCCCAGTCTTCCCCAGAAAATCCAGACTTACCTCCCAGTCTTCCCCAGTAAAATACACACTTACCTCCCAGTCTTCCCCAGTAAAATCCAGACTTACTCCCCAATCCTCCCCAGTAAAATCCAGACTTACCTCCCAGTCCTCCCCAGTAAAATCCAGACTTACCTCCCAGTCCTCCCCAGTCCGCCCGTGGTTCTTGGACACCTCCTCTTCTTCTTCCTCCTCCTCCTCTTCCCTGTCGTCAACCAGTACAAACTCCTCTTCGTCGCCCTCCTCTGACCCTCCCTCCAGCATGCACAGGTCAGGCCTCCAGTGGCTCAGGTAGGCGTAGAGCTCATCTGAGCTACAGGCGACAAGACAGGACAGCAGAAAAATGTAGTGCTAAAGACCTTTGACCGACTTTTAATGAGAAAAAAATGTTACAACTTAAAGTCTCTACATTCCTCAGCATTCCTCAGCAATTCAAACTGCTACACGAGACATGTTGAACTTGATGTTAATGTTAGACATTGTCAGTGTGAGGTGTTAATGTTCACAGAATGTAAGTGGAATGTTAATGCTAAACTAAAACAGTTTGTTTCTGTGGCTCCAGACTGCAGACGGTTACCTCTCCTGGGAGAAGGCGAACCAGGAGTCCCTCCGGGGTAAGGTTTTGTTTGTCCCCAGCAGCAAGCCTGCAGCCACACCCTTCTTCTTCCCAGCGGACTGCTGGAGTCGCAGCCTGACGAACATCAGCCCGCCAGAAGTCTCTGAAGACAGTCTAGAGGGGCCTGGAGAAGAGGGAGGGGGAGGATGAGAGAGAAAGAGCGAACGAGAGAGAGCGAGTGAGAGAGCGAGTGAGAGACAGCGAGAGAGAGAGATTGAAAGGGGGAAAGAGAGGGGGAAAGATGGAGAACAATTATGAGAGCGAGGGTGGCAACCGACAGAAAGAAAAAGAGAGTGGGAAGCATTTGTTATGATACCTCCATCTTTGTACAAACATCAAGCAGGCCTCAACTAAACAATACTGCTTGGGATAAAACCATGATATAAACCTATTGACTTGATTCCTTTCCTTACCTGGTGTCTGATTCCTCACAGACTGTTGCTTCTCCATCCCCTCTCTGTCCACCAGCTCCATCCTTGTCCCTGCTGCCTCCTGTCCTCCACAACAGAAGGTGGCAGTACTGCTCAACACGGCTACTCCCACAGCCCCGGATGACTGCATAACCAGCTCCTCCAGCGGACTACCCTTCCCCTCCAGCTGCCACTCAGCCATGTCACTGCTCTTCTCCTCCTCAGAGACCCCCTGGACCAGGCTCAGAGCCAGGGCAGACCTCAGCTCCAACGTAGCAGCAGACACCAGTGCTGGGACAGTCTCCCCCTTGTGGTGTGGAGGGCTACTGCGACTTAGCCGCCCACCCTCCTGGAGCGTCTTGCCAGTTTTGGAGCCAGCTTTCTGTATGTTTTTAGTTCCTTTCCACCTAGTAACAGAAAAACAACCAATGTTGTTTGGTTACTTGCATTGGGATGGTTGTGTTGTTTCTATGTACACAGTGTACAAAACATTAAGAACACCTACTCTTTCCATGATATAGACTGCCCAGGTGAATCCGGGTGAATTCTATGACCCCTTATTGATATCCCTTGTTAAATCCACTTCAATCAGTGTAGATAAAGGGGAGGAGACAGATTAAAGAAGGATTTTTAAGCCTCGAAACATTTGAGATATGGACTGTGTACGTGTGTCATTCAGAGAGTGAATGGGCAAGACACAATTAATGGGGGTGTGCAACTCAATATTAGGAAGATGTTCCTAATTTTTAGTATCCTCAGTGTATGTTGCATGTTCTGCAATATCTGACCCAACAAACATTCCTTGATATCATAGATGTCCAAGGGGCAATTTCATTGGCTATGATAGACAGGCAAGGAACAAGGCCAGGCGCATCATAGAGGACTCTACACACAATATTGTCCAATGTTTAGAGCTGCTGCCCTCTGAAAGGAGATACAAGGTCCCACTGTTCAGCAAGAATAAGAGCAGGGCAAGTTCCATTCTGATGGCCATCAGGATGCTGAACAGTGGGCCATAGGACAGATGGAGGATGCTGAACAGTGGGCCATGGGACAGATGTAGGATGCTGAACAGTGGGCCATAGGACAGATGTAGGATGCTGAACAGTGGGCCATAGGACAGATGTAGGATGCTGAACAGTGGGCCATGGGACAGATGTAGGATGCTGAACAGTGGGCCATAGGACAGATGGAGGATGCTGAACAGTGGGCCATGGGACAGATGGAGGATGCTGAACAGTGGGCCATAGGACAAATGGAGGATGCTGAACAGTGGGCCATAGGACAGATGGAGGATGCTGAACAGTGGGCCATAGGACAGATGGAGGATGCTGAACAGTGGGCCATAGGACAGATGGAGGATGCTGAACAGTGGGCCATAGGACAGATGGGGATGCTGAACAGTGGGCCATAGGACAGATGTAGGATGCTGAACAGTGGGCCATGGACAGATGTAGGATGCTGAACAGTGGGCCATGGGACAGATGTAGGATGCTGAACAGTGGGCCATAGGACAGATGAGGATGCTGAACAGTGGGCCATAGGACAGATGAGGATGCTGAACAGTGGGCCATAGGACAGATGGAGGATGCTGAACAGTGGGCATAGGACAGATGGGGATGCTGAACAGTGGGCCATAGGACAGATGTAGGATGCTGAACAGTGGGCCATGGGACAGATGGAGGATGCTGAACAGTGGGCCATGGGACAGATGTAGGATGCTGAACAGTGGGCCATGGACAGATGTAGGATGCTGAACAGTGGGCCATAGGACAGATGTAGGATGCTGAACAGTGGGCCATAGGACAGATGTAGGATGCTGAACAGTGGGCCATAGGACAGATGGAGGATGCTGAACAGTGGGCCATAGGACAGATGTAGGATGCTGAACAGTGGGCCATAGGACAGATGAGGATGCTGAACAGTGGGCCATGGGGCAGATGTAGGATGCTGAACAGTGGGCCATAGGACAGATGTGAGGATGCTGAACAGTGGGCCATAGGACAGATGAGGATGCTGAACAGTGGGCCATGGACAGATGTAGGATGCTGAACAGTGGGCCATAGGACAGATGGAGGATGCTGAACAGTGGGCCATGGGACAGATGTAGGATGCTGAACAGTGGGCCATAGGACAGATGTAGGATGCTGAACAGTGGGCCATAGGACAGATGTAGGATGCTGAACATGGGCCATAGGACAGATTGTTAGGATGCTGAAATGGGCCATGGACAATGTAGGATTGCCTGAAAGTGACAGTGGGCCATGGGACAGATGTAGGATGCTGAACAATGGGACATAGGACAGATATGTATTATAGTGTATTGTTTTCTTGTGTATGCTGGATTCACAAAATGAATTTCCATGTAAATGGACAATAAAGTATATTGTATCATATCGTATACCCCATTTCCACTGCTAGATTTCAGAGATTATACAGTATTTAAAGCTGCAACATATGTTAACTTTTTGGGAGACCTGACCAAATTCACATAGAAAATGTGAGTTATAGATCTGTCATTGTCATTGAAAGCAAGTCTAAGAAGTGGTAGATCTGTTCTATGTGCGCTATTTCTATGCTTCCCGTTCTTAAGTTTAGTTTTTGTGTCTTTTACTTTCGGTTTTGTGCACCAGCTTCAAACAGCTGAAAATACAATATTTTTGGTTATTGAAAATATATTTCACAGTGGTTTAGATGGTACAATGATTCTCTACTTGTTTTGTAACAAACTAAAATGTCAAAGACCCACACTAAACCAGTCATAGTGCGTATTCCAGACACACCAATTTGACACAGGTCTGCGCAGAATATAGAATCATTATAGTGACCTCATAAATTAAAACGCCTTCCCAGGCATTGTGAAGATATGTTGATTTGTGCAGAGCTGCACCAAATCGGTGTGTGCCTTGAACGTGCACATAGTCATTCAGTGCTGACCTGTGTGTGGAGGAGTTAAAGTGCACGTGGGAGATGTCAGAGTAGAAGGAGACCGAGGCCAGGCTGTCCACTGAGCAGGACAGCAGGTACTCCTCACAGCCGTGCTCTATCACCAACGGGTGAGTCTTACACGGGTCAAAGAACATCTTATTGGACGTCACCAGCAAGATACCAGAAACCACACCCTGGTGAGAGAGAGAGAGGGGTGAGAGACAGGTGAGCATATGAAGAAAGAGGTGAGAAATGAGATAGATGAGTGGATGGTGAGAGAGGAGAGAGATGAGATAGATGAGTGGGTGGTGAGAGAGATGAGCAGGTATTTTTTGTATTTTATTAGGATACCCATTAGCTGTTTCTGAAGCAGCAGCTACTCTTCCTGGGATCCACACAAAACATGAAACATGACATAATACAGAACATCAATAGACAAGAACTGCTCAAGGACAGAACTACACACATTTTAAATAAGAACAATAGAACCAAAAAAGGTTATACGGACAGTTACACACATACATTAGTACATATACACTGAGTGAACAAAACATTAAGAACACCTTCCTAATATTGAGTTGCATCCCCCCTATTTTTCCCTCAGAACAGACTAAATTCGTCGGGGCATGGACTCTACAAGGTGTCGAAAGCGTTCCACAGGGATACTGGCCAATGTGGACTTCAATGCTTCCCACAGTTGTGTCAAATTGGCTGGATGTCCTTTGGGTGGTGGACCATTCTTGATACACACGGGAAACTGTTGAGCGTGAAAAACCCAGCAGCGTTGCAGTTCATGACACACTTAAACTGGTGCGCCTGGCACCTACTACCATACCCTGTTCAAAAGCACTTACATTTTCTGTCTTGCCATTCACCCTCTGAATGACAACATACACAATCCATGTCTCAATTGTAAAAATTAGAAGGATTACTGTTACACTATTCCAGGTATTCCTTAAAGAGGTAAAGTTTCAAGTGTCTCGGGAAGGTGGTCAGTGACTCCGCTGTCCTGGCATCGTGAGGGAGCTTGTTCCACCATTGGGGTGCCAGAGCAGCGAATAGCTTTGACTGGGCTGAGCGGGAACTGTGCTTCCGTAGAGGTAGGGGCTAGCAGGCCAGAGGTGGATGAACATAGTGCCCTCGTTTGGGTGTAGGGACTGATCAGAGCCTGAAGGTAAGGAGGTGTCGTTCCCCTCACAGCTCCGTAGGCAAGTACAATGGTTTTGTAGTAGATGCGAGCTTCAACCGGAAGCCAGTGGAGTGTACGGAGGAGCGGGGTGACATGAGGAGCGGGGTGACATGGAGCACTTGACCATATCACCGGGCAATAGTCAAGATTAGATCAAACTAGATCCTGCGTGACTTTTTTGGTCAACTGTGGTGTTAGAAAATGCTGAGTATCTCTACAACAATTGAATCAATATGCCTTGACCATGACAATTTACAGTGTAAGGTGACATGCTAGTGGTAGATCATTAGAGTGCCAAGAGAGATGCCTTGCGAAATGCCACCCTTGACATGTTTTACATTAAAGAAGCTTACATTAAATAAAACCCTCTGTGTTCTATTGGATAGATATCTCTCAACCCATAATACGGTAGAGGATGTAAAGCCATAGCACATATGTTTTTCCAAGAACAGATTATGGTCAATAATATCAAAGGCTGCACTGAAGTCTAACAATACAGCTCCTACAATCTTCTTATTACCAATGTCTTTCAGTCAATCATCAGTCATTTGTGTCAGTGCAGTACAGGTGGTGAGTGGGTGGTGAGAGAGGTGAGTTGGTGGTGAAACAGAGGTCAGCAAGAGGTTAGAGAGGAATGAGTGAGAATGACTCGTCTCCACCCACCTTGCGGTCAGTGATGTAGCGGCAGAAGAGCTTGAGGCACGGCATGGCAGCTGGCCCCTCCCCCAGGGAACACTCAGGTGGGAGGGCCAGTAGGCAGAGCTGTCCATCAGGCATTGGCACCGCCTCCACATCCTATGAGAATCAAAGCAAGCACAGTTTTTAACACAGCAGAGGAAATTCCCTTTTTTTGATCCCCCCGACTTCAGTTAGCGCAGTGTTTAAAGCAGGCATTCTCCACTCATTAAAACAGTGCTTTAAATTGAAAGCTGACTAAGCAGCTTCCAAAAGAACAGCATTTGAAGAAACAATCAATCATTGCCAATAGCTAAGAGTTTTTCCAGTCCTGCATTGACTCTCGTTTCTATTGAACAATTTCAGCTCCGCTAAGCTAATTTAGCCGCTCTTAACAAGTTTCACCACACCAAAAGCACACTCCATTAAAGGCCTGACAAGAGACAGGAAAGCATGGTTAAATCATTTAAAAACATTGTTAAATGTACTTCCTGTTCTGTATGGATTGTGGAATAGATTTATCCATTTATCCAAATTATCCTTACCAGTAGTTTGTCATATTCTGCGTCCGGTGACGGGGAGTGTGGGCTGGCCGATGGGGCCGGAGAAAGCCCTGGGACAGTGTCCAAATCTGGCCCCAGCCTGAGGTTGGGGTCAGGGTACGTCGCCACGGGAGATGAGCCTTGGCCAGAGCCTTTACTCCTGGGAACGCGGAGGTGCTTCAAAATGGAAGCGCGGAGAAACATCACAACACAGAACAGAACAACACACACTCACTCACTGCTGTTAATAATACTCTGCCCAGTCTAGGACCTCCCACTTCCTCTTTCTAACTGTGAACTTCACATCTGCGGTCTCATCTGTAGCCTGCTGGACGCATGATTGGTAACAATGCAAATAGGTTTTCTCAGAAGGCTATGTGGTGAAGGCTATTCTCTGTCACTCACTTTGCATGTCAAATCCATAGTGGAAGGTACAAACAAAATAGCAACATATTATGTCACTACGCTGACGTTTGATCATTATACTGGAAGGAAAATACACGTATGGAGATAAAAGATCACGATGTACATTTTGTCCAGTTTCTCATCAAATGGTATGAAGCTGATCATACCCGCAGGCCTGCAATTAGTGTGTTACGTGTTATTTCTGTCACATTTCTGTCACATTTCACAGTGTCACATGTTGAGTAAGGAGAAGGTTCAGTAGTGGAACAGGTTGAGAGCTTTAAGTTCCTTGGTGTCCACATCACCAACAAACTATCATGGTCCAAACACACCAAGACAGTCGTGAAGAGGGCACGACAAAGCCTATTCCCCCTCAAGAGACTGAAAAGATTTGGCATGGGTCCTCAGATCCTCAAAAAGTTCCACAGTTGCACCATCGAGAGCATCCTGACTGGTTGCATCACTGCCTGGTATGGCAACTGCTCGGCTTCCGACCGCAAGGCACTACAGAGGGTAGTGCTACGGCCCAGTACATCACTGGGGCCAAGCTTCCTGCCATCCAGGACCTCTATACCAGGCGGTGTCAGAGGAAGGCCCTAAAAATGGTCAAAAACTCCAGCCACCCTAGTCAGAGACTGTTCTCTCTAGAGACTGTTCTCCTTTTGGACCTAGACCCAAGTCTAGGTCCAAAAGGCTTCTCAACAGCTTCTACCCCCAAGCCATAAGACTCCTGAACAGCTAATCATGGCTACCCGGACTATTTACACTGCCCCCCCACCCCATCCCCCTCCTTTACGCTGCTGCTACTCTGTTTATTATTTATACATAGTCACTTTAACTCTACCCACATGTACATATTATCTCAATTACCTCGACTAGCCGGTGCCCCCGCACATTGACTATGTACCAGTACCCCCCTGTATATAGCCTCCTTACTGTTATTTTATTTTACTGCTGCTCTTTAGTTATTTGCTTAAATTTTTTTACTTAACACTTTTTATTTATTTTACTTTTTCTTAACAAAACTGCATTGTTGGTTAAGGGCTCGTAAGTAAGCATTTCACTGTAATGTCTACACCTGTTGTATTCGGCGCATGTGGCAAATAAAATTTGATTTTATTTGAATGCAGATACAGGGACAGAGCAGGGAGTTACCAGTGTCATATACTGTATGTATGTACTGTATGTATGTACACTACTGGTCAAAAGTTCAAGGGTCATTCAAGGGTTTTTCTTTATTTTTACTATTCTCTACATTGTAGAATAATAGTGAAGACATCAAAACTATGAAATAACACATATGGAATCATGTAGTAACCAAAAAAAGTGTTAAATAAATTCTTCAAATAGCCCCACTTTGCCTTGACAGCTTTGCACACTCTTGGCATTCTCTCAACCAGCTTCACCTGGAATGCTTTTCCAACAGTCTTGAAGGAGTTCCCACATATGCTGAGCACTTGTTGGCTACTTTTCCATCACTCTGCTGTCCGACTCATCCCAAACCATCTCAATTTGGTTGAGGTCAGGGGATTGTGGAGGCCAGGTCATCTGATGCAGCACTCCATCACTCTCCTTCTTGGTAAAATAGCCCTTACACAGCCTGGAGGTGTGTTGGCTCATTGTCCTGTTGAAAAACAAATGATAGTCCCACTAAGCCCAAACCAGATGGGATGGCGTATCGCTGAAGAATGCTGTGGTAGCCATGCTGGTTAAGTGTGCCCTGAATTCTAAATAAATCCCAGACAGTGTCACCAGCAAAGCACCCACACACCATAACACCTCCTCCTCCATGCTTTACGGTGGGAAATACACATGCGGAGATCATCCGTTCACCCACACCGCGTCTCACAAAGACACGGTGGTTGGAACCATAAATCTCCAATTTGGCCTCCAGACCAAAGGACAAATTCCCACGGTCTAATGTCCATTGCTCGTGTTTCTTGGCCCAAGCAAGTCTCTTCTTCTTATTGGTGTCCTTTAGTAGTGGTTTCTTTGCAGGAATTCAACCATGAAGGCCTGATTCACACAGTCTCCTCTGAACAGTTGATGTTGAGATGTGTCTGTTACTTGAACTCTGTGAAGCATTTATTTGGGCTGCAATTTCTGAGTCTGGTAACTCTAATGAACTTATCCTCTGCAGCAGAAAGGTAACTCTGGGACTTGCATTCCTGTGGTGGTCCTCATGAGAACCAGTTTCATCATAGCGCTTGATGGTTTTTGCGAATTCTGACATTTTCCGGATTGACTGGCCTTCATGTCTTAAAGTAATGAGGACTGTCGTTTCTCTTTGCTTATTTGAGCTGTTCTTGCCATAATATGGACTTGGTCTTTTACATTTACATTTTACATTTTAATCATTTAGCAGACGCTCTTATCCAGAGCGACTTACAGTTAGTGAGTGCATACATTTTTCATACTGGCCCCCCGTGGGAATCGAACCCACAACCCTGGCATTGCAAGCGCCATGCTTTACCAACTGAGCTACAGGGCTATCTTCTGTATACCCCCCTACGTTGTCACAACACAACTGATTGGCTCAATCGCATTAAGGAAAGAAATTCCACAAATTAACCTTTAACAAGGCACAACTGTTAATTGAAATGCATTCCAGGTGACTACCTCATGAAGCTGGTTGAGAGAATGCCAAGAGTGCGCAAAGCTGTCATCATGCAAAAGGTGGCTTTTTGAAGAATCTCAAATATAAAATATATTTTGATTTGTTTAACACTTTTTTGGTTACTACATTATTCCATGTGTTATTTCATTGTTTTGATGTCTTCACTATTATTCTACAATGTAGAAAATAGTAAAAATAAAGAAAAACCCTGGAATAAGTAGGTGTGTCCAACATTTTGACTGGCATTGTATATTTTCTAGACAGAAATGCATTAGATGGGGATTTTCTATACATGAATACATGGTTTTGCCTTGATTTTAAGTACATTTAGGTTACTACAGTAGTTCCACATATCCATATATGCTTTACGAAAGACATGATCTGATAAAAACATTTAAAAGCTGTAGTAATAGAAGCTTCTAAATCTGTATATAATAGAATTACCAGCATTTATTTTCAACACATACCTTGGAACACACTGTCCTCCCATTATAATTGTTGTAGAGCTTCTGAATATACCTGTGGATACCCATTGAAATAGGGAAGATCTGGGACTGATCTCTGAACACTGTTTCACTGAAATACAGCTTGTCTGACCTTTGAACATCTTTATCAGCATCTTTCAATGCCATATATACAGTATTATGCAATGTATTGGTTATCAAGTGTGTGGGTACAGCCGGTCTTAAACATGTTATCATTATTGAGCTACGAGTAGGTCTACATGAGATTGTGACTCACCATACAGTCTGCTTTGTCATCAGATGGTTGACCCTCTTCCTTGGATTTAGCTGTGGCGCGCTCTGGTAGCCATGTAGCCTCTACGAAGGCAAGATGTAAAAACATTGCGTTGATAAGCAATGGATGATGACTCTTTCCACCAATTCTCTCTGCTCCTGAAATACAACAGCTGTTTCTCCGAATCTACTTGTTTGTGGTCCTGTATATCATTTTAACTCATGCAAAATAACTCCCTTAAATCTAGCCCTGTATGTGGCGTGCATCTTTACAAAATGTGGCATCTCCTGAGGCACATGAGACATTATGGATGTTTTGGAGATGTATTAAAGGTACTGAGGTTTCTCCTTGAACGTCAGGCCTGACTGCAACAAAGCAGCTGTGTTCGCGCTGACACACTGTGTGTGTGTATGTGAGTGTTTGTGTGCTACAACCTAGACCAGAAGTAAAATCCCAAAAGAGAATATCAAAGTTCTGTGTCAGTGCCCTCGGTACTGAATATAATCCTAAAGAAATACTACAATATAGAATACGTGAGGCAGAAGGCATCTTGCAATCTCTACAGTTCTTGGATAATTGTTTCCTAGTGTGAAACCGAGCAACTTATTACAAAACTTGCACCTCTACAGTTAAATTAAATTAAAATAAATTGGTCATTTAGCAGACGCTCTTATCCAGAGCGACTTACAGGAGCAATTAGGGTTAAGTGCCTTGCTCAAGGGCACATCGACAGATTTTTCACCTAGTCGGCTTGGGGATTAGAACCAGCGACCTTTCGGTTACTGGTACAACGCTCTTAACCACTAAGCGTTGAGATTCTTCAAATAGCCCCCCTTTGCCTTGATGACAGCTTTGCACACTCTTGGCATTCTCTCAACCAGCTTCATGAGGTAGTCACCTGTAATGCATTTCAATTAACAGGTGTCCCTTGCTAAAAGTTAATTTGTGGAATTTCTTTCCTTCTTAATGCGTTTGAGCCAATCAGTTGTGTTGTGACAAGGTAGGGGGGTATACAGAAGATAGCTCTATTTGGTAAAAGACCAAGTCCATATTATGGCAAGAACAGCTCAAATAAGTAAAGCGAAAACACAGTCCAACATTACTTTAAGACATGAAAGTCAGTCAATAAAGAACATTTCAAGAACTTGGAAAGTTTCTTCAAGTGCAGTCGCAAAAACCATCAAGCACTATGATGAAACTGGCTCTCATGAGGACCGCCACAGGAATGGAAGACCCAGAGTTACCGCTGCTGCAGAGGATAAGTTCATTAGAGTTACCAGCCTCAGAAATTACAGCCCAAATAAATGCTTCACAGAGTTCAAGTCACAGACACATCTCAACATCAACTGTTCAGGGGGGACTGTGTGAATCAGGCCTTCATGGTTGAATTCCTGCAAAGAAAGCACTTCTAAAGGACACCAATTAGAAGAAGAGAGAGAAGGAGAGTGATGGAGTGCTGCATCAGATGACCTGGCCTCCACAATCCCCCGACCTCAACCCAATTGAGATGGTTTGGGATGAGTCGGACGGCAGAGTGAAAGAAAAGCAGCCAACAAGTGCTCAGCATTTTTGGGAACTCCTTCAAGACTGTTGGAAAAGCATTCCAGGTGAAGCTGGTTGAAAGAATGCCAAGAGTGTGCAAAGCAGTCATCAAGGCAAAGGGTGGCAAATATATTTTGATTTGTTTAACACTTTTTTGGTCACTACATGATTCCATTTGTGTTATTTCATAGTTTCGATGTCTTCACTAATATTCTGAATGAGTAGGTGTGTCCAAACTTTTGACTGGTACTGTATGTTGTATAATTGTCATTCCTAGCTGCAGTGTTGCAATTCCTCATAAGTTGAATAAATGCTAGAGAGGAATTCTCCTTACCAACCTTCCTTTAAGTGTGTTATCTGTCATTCTGTAGGTTGTTTGCGACGAAAATACACAACACATTTATAAACGCCATATAAATAATTGGATATGGAACTACTGCAGCTACCAAGCCCCTACTGGGGCAAACAAAGCACAGGCTGTCCTAGATATCTATATAACCATGTTAAGAGATACCTCACCTTGGAGGTAATACTGGCGCAGTTGGGGGTTCCGGATGTGGCGGACGTGGTCAAGGGGACGCCCCACGGCACGGTGGGACTGACCGCTGCCCCTGGCCTCCTTGGTTGGGCCGGTCTGAGGCCCTGTCTCCGAGGGGCCTGCGATGAGGCCGGGGGGCTGAGCGACACCAGGAGGGAGCTTGGACCCCAGTCTGGTGGGGAGTCAGAACAGAAGGGATACTGGTGGTAGGGAAGACTACTGACCCTATTTATATCGGTTAGGGTTAGAGTAGAAATTGTGTGTCACCTGAGTTGATACCCTTTTGAGGCAATCAGCTATGATTCTCTATGATTTTGCCTGGCATATAAAAAAGAAAAGTGATATACTGAACAAAAATATGAACGCAACATGTAAAGTGTTGGTCCCATGTTTCATGAGCTGAAATTAAAAAATCCTTGAAATGTTCCATACGCACAAAAAGCTTATTTCTCTCAAATTTTGTTCACAAATTTGTTTACATCCCTTTTAGTGAGCATTTCTACTTTGCAAAGATAATCCATACACCTGACAGCTGTGGCATATCAAGAAGCTGATTAAACAGCATAATATTACACAGGTGCACCTTGTGCTGGGGACAATAAAAAGCCACTCTAAAATGTGCTGTTTTGTCACACAACACAATGCCACAGATGTCTCAAATTGAGGGAGCGTGCAATTGGCATGCTGACTGAAGGAATGTCCACCAGAGCTGTTGCCAAAGAATGTAATGTTCATTTCTCTACCATAAGCCGCCTCCAACGTCATTTTAGAAAATTTGGCAGTATGTCCAACTGGCCTCACAACCGCAGACCACATGTAACCACGCCAGCCCAGGATTTCCACATCTGCATTCTTCACCTGCGGGATGGTCTGAGACGAGCCACCCGGACAGCTGATGAAACTGTGGGTTTGCACAACCAAAGAATTTCTGCACAAACTGTCAAAAACTGTCTCAAGGAATCTCATCTGTGTGCTCGTTGTCCTCACCAGGGTCTTGACCTGACTACAGTTCGGCGTCGTAACCGACTTCAGTGGGTAAATGCTCACCTTCGATGGCCACTGGCACGCTGGAGAAGTGTGCTCTTCACAGATGAATCCCAGTTTCAACTGTACAGGGCAGATGGCAACAGCGTGTATGGCATCGTGTGGGCGAGCGGTTTGCTGATGTCAACGTTGTGAACAGAGTGACCCATGGTGGCGGTGGGGTTATGGTATTGGCAGGCATAAGCTATGGACAACAAACACAATTGCACTTTATCGATGGCAATTTGAATGCACAGAGCTACCGTGACAAGATCCTGAGGTCCATTGTCATGCCATTCATCCGCCGCCATCACCTCATGTTTTAGCATGATAATGCACGGCCCCATGTCGCAAGGATCTGTACATATTTCCTGGAAGCTGAAAATGTTGCAGTTCTTCCATGGCCTAGTTCTTCCATGGCCTGCATACTCACCAGACATGTCACCCATTGAGCATGTTTGGAATGCTCTGGATCGACGCCCCTACTTTTTTTTTAAAGGTATCTGTGACAAACAGATGCATATCTGTATTCCCAGTCATGTGAAATCTATAGATTAGGGCCTATTGAATTTATTTCAATTGACTGATTTCCTTATATGAACTGTAACTCAGTAAAATCTTTGAAATTGTTGCATGTTGCGTTTATATTTTGTTGATTCATGCAGGATTGTGGGAGTTCGGAATAGGCTGTTGCTGTTCCTGGCAAGCACCTGCACTCCTCTCTCCCACGTAATGCCCATGACTGTTTGTGTTTGTTTTTTCAAAGGAGAAGTACATTCACAAGAGTGACTATATAAAAAAATGGTGATGAGTGCTGTATACGGTACATCGCGTGTTTTGTGCTGCAGTGCTCCCTTCACCTCAACACTTCATCTCGGGAGAGAAACACTGTACAGGCTGACACATTCTGGGAATAACTAAACAATGCATCACTCACAACAAGTCTAAGCAGTGCTTTTCTTAATTTTTAGCCAATAAACGGTTTAATCGCAGGTCTGACCTGGTCTTGACGTTGCCAAAGTAGCTGGGCCTGTTTTTGTCCCTCTGTTGTAGTTTATGTTCCATGGCTCTGAGGGTTTGCAAGAAGGCCTTCTCAGGGACCTATCGGCGACTACTGTGATGTTGACAACAGCGATGTTCTGGTAGGTTGAGGGGCTCTGCTAGCATTGCTCCTCCGTTCAGTCTCCATGCTTATTAAGCTCCTGTAATCATACCTACAGGAGAGTAAAAGTTAGTGCACCTAGAAGAATGAGAGTGAGACTGAGTGCATAAGCTCCAAGTAATGAAGTCAGGCCTTTCAATTCAATTCAACTCGAGAATCCATGATGACTCAGAGCATTTTAGCAGGGGTATAAGATTGCGCTGGAAACATTGTCAAATAAGCAACGTAGATCCTCTTAAAAAAATAACTTTTCGTATTGAGACAATGCTCTCAAAGACTATAGGCAAGAAACATGCCAGGGAAGAGAAGCCAGGAAGTGGATGCAGGTATATTGAATGTACATGCATCCTCGGGGTCGTGCGGTGGAGGAGGGTAGTAAGTTGGTGGTCTGTTGATATCCCTCTAGTGGTGTGGGGGTTGTGCCTTGGCAAAGTGGGTGGGGTTATATCCTGCCTGGTTGGCCCTGTCCGGGGGTATTGTCGAATGGGGCCACAGTGTCCCCCCCGTCTCAGCCTCCAGTATCTATGCTGCAATAGTCTATGTGCCGGGGGGCTAGGGTCAGTCTGTTATATCTGGTGTAATTCTACTGTCTTATCTGGTGTCCTGTGTGAATTTAAGTACGCTCCCTCTAATTCTCTATCTCTCACTCCCCTCCCGGAGGACCTGAGCCCTAGTACCATGCCTCAGGACTACCTGGCTTGATGATTCCTGGCTGTCCCCAGTCTACCTGGTCGTGCTGCTGCTCCAATTTCAACTGTTCTGCCTGCGGCTATGGAACCCTGACCTGTTCACCGGACATGCTACCTTGTCCCGGACCTGCTGTCTCGACCTCTGAATGTTTGGCTATGAAAAGCCAACTGACATTTATTCTTGAGGTACTGACCTGTTGCACCCTCTACAACCACTGATTATTATTTGACCCTGCTGGTCATCTTGAAGAACAATCTGGCCTTAATGGCCATGTACTCTTATAATCTCCACCTGGCACAGCCAGAAGAGGACTGGTCACCCCTCAGAGCCTGATTCCTCTCTAGGTTTCTTCCTAGGTTCCTGCCTTTCTAGGGAGTTCTTCCTCGCCACCGTGCTTCTACATCTGCATTGCTTGCTGTTTGGGGTTTTAGGCTGGGTTTCTGTATAGCACTATGTGACATCTGCTGATGTAAAAAGGGCTTTATAAATAAATTGTATTGATTGATTGATTGATAGGGATTCTTGTTGCCTTATTTCTTGACAAGCAGACATAACATATTTTATTTGCTTCATTTGCAACACAGTCTATTAGGGCTAGTGCTCAAATTCCTTTGGGCCTGAGTTCTGATGCAATGAATGGAACTCCTGTGATTTATGTAATATATTTTCCATTTTCTTTCTTGCACCAGAAGATTTGTTTCTACACTAACCTCAAGTACATAATGGATAAGGGTTCTTACTGTAGAAGGAAGCATCCCGACAAATGATTGTGCCTTGTAGAATATTGCAATAGATTACTGTAGTCTTCTTAAACATGGATGATCCCCACTTCCATATCGAAAATTCGAGGCATCCGACAATAAAACGTAGCGGTGGGGTACACTGAATTCGGAAATATGAATATTAAAAGGATTTAGGGACTAACCTGTCAAAAATATTGCCCGGAATGTTGATCGAAAGCGAGTGCTTTCGGAAGTCTTCATATTACGCAGGGTGTTATGTTTCGTGATATCACCGCAGACAACAGCAAAAAGTTGAGCATGTTCGCTCCGCCCATCCTCCTGGGCCGGTGATTGAGGAGTATTTGAGCAGATATGCAGAATCATTGCATGGCTGGAATAACTATTTTTTGTAATCATCAATCCAACTCCAATGTTTTCATGCACCCCATACAAACCCCTTAAATTACAATGCTAATTTTTAAAAATTCCTTTGGTTTGTTGCACTCATTCATTGCAGAGAAATAGCCTATGCATAAACCAGTCGGAGCAAATAACATGGCCTTCCTCTACTTAGAATATAAAACTGGAGTGGCTTCCACCTTTGGGAAATATTACCCTTATTTATAAGTGGGTCCGCAGCCATTCTGCAGAAAGCCTTGCACTTGCTTTTCCTGACACACGAGGCGCTATCATCACATCGCCTCGCTTGTTGATGCTCAAAATGTATTGGCTGGAGAAAAAGCATGTGTAAAGATCCGACCAATCAAATTATAGAATATAGTGCTTTTTCCGGGCCTAGCAAAACGATAACATTGCTGAAGTCTGAAAGACGAAAAGGAGAACGTGTTTGTCGAAAAGAAAATAATTATTGAAATCTCCCAGACATTGCATTAACAAATGTGAGTTGCACGTTTACACTTCTTTATTTTGTGTTAAGATAACCGAAATACATGGTATAATTTCGATGTAAGCTTGAGGGTCAATCAAAGGACCGGCTGAAGCCTGTTAGCTAGCCAACTAACGTTAGCTAGCCAGCTAACAGATCAACTGGCTATCATCGTCAGTTTGCTACTGCGGTCAGCTAGCTAGTCAATTTATTGTGAACCATTTGCGGGGCATGGTATACTAAAATTATACTTGTGGTGTTTGGAACGGTTGCTCATTGAAAATCCACTCAAATGCCATTTGATCAGCTTCATTTACAGCAACATTAAAGGTCCAATGCAATGCAGCCGTTTTTATCTCGATGTCAAATAATTTCTGGGTAACAATGAAGTACCTTACTGTGATTGTTTTCAATTAAAATGGTCAAAAATAAACAAATAGCTTCTTAGCAAAGAGCTATTTCTCAAGCAAATACCTGTCTGAGTGGGGATGGGAAAACCGAAAACTAGCTGTTATTGGCAAAGAGGTTTGGAACTCTCTTTATTATTGATCTATCAGAAAATTTACTGCCTGGTGATTCCACCAGGCAGGTCAAAACTCAACAGGCTGACATTTCAGGTGGTCTTTTCAAACAGTTTTTACAGTAAAATGGCATGATCATCATTTTCACAATTTCAGTGTTATTCCAACCTCAGTGTGAAAAAAATAAAAAAATATATATGTGTGTGTGTGTGACACAGGAAAATCACGTTTTTGACTGCACTGAGCCTTTAATATAATCCTCAACACACTTTTGATGCGACTTCTTCTACTAATGTCATAGCTACTGAGTTGGCTTGAAAAGGCTGGATGGCTAACATTAGCCATTCATACTAGCTAGTCTTCTATCTAACTTTATTAGTTAAAGATTCCTTTAACTAATGCTTCCTCTGCGGAAGCATAGTTCCCGCTCAGCCCAGTCAAAACTGTTCGCTGCTCTGGCACCCCAATGGTGGAACAAGCTCCCTCACGACGCCAGGACAGCGGAGTCACTCACCACCTTCCGGAGACATTTGAAACCCCACCTCTTTAAGGAATACCTGGGATAGGATAAAGTAATCCTCCCCCCCCCCCCCCCCCCCCCCCCCCTATAGGGTGAATGCACCAATTTGTGAGTCGCTCTGGATAAGAGCGTCTGCTAAATGACGTAAATGTGCCCTTGAGCAAGGCACTTAACCCTAATTGCTCCTGTAAGTCGCTCTGGATAAGAGCGTCTGCTAAATGACTAAAATGTAAATGTTTATGTAGCTATCCAAAGCCTTTTCTAACTTTCAGCTGAGTGTGTGGCCTGCTGTCGATAATCTACATAGTCCATTCTCACTGTCAACATGTGTCTTTGTCTCCCTCACAGATGTTGGAAGACCTCAGTATCAGCATCTGAAGACTGTTTACGGCATGACCTTTGTTTACTAAACATACAATAGCCTACTGAGCCCAGCGCCAATTAGGTATCCTCTGAACAGTGTATGAACAAGCTCATTCACAATGGAAACCGAAGCAGTAAGTTAGCTAGCTAGCCCTTTTTAAAGATTAAAAGCATGCATTCTGCAGTGTACTAACAAGAGATTGTGGTAGCCTGGATGCCAGTCTGTTTCTACCCTCCAGCCTACTCATTGTGTTGACAATGACAGCAAAGCTGGCAAGAGCACAGATCTGGGACCAGGCTACATCTTTGGTGTGTTGGAAAAACTAACAGCACGTTTCTTACCGCTATTCAGGAGGTTATTCCTATTTGGCAGAACAAGCCTCATGGGTCGACTCGCAGTGTTGTGAGGAGAATAGGCTCTATTGTGCCCATGAAACCCCCACCCAGGGCATGTTTCCAGGTAAATATGGTCATTATCAAATTCAACACATGCCATAGCATAAGTACACAGTACAGACAATGACTTGCTGTCAGAAGGCCAACCTTGTGGCCAAATTGCATTAAAGGTGCTAACAAAGAGAACCTGCACCTGTTTACCAGGAACTCCCAGGCCTCCCTCCTCTGCGGCCCATGGATGGCCCCATGGTGCCCACACTGGCAGACATTGCCTGGATCGCAGCAGATGAGGAGTCTGAGACCTATGCCAGAGTGCGGTAAGTATGTGCTTTTCTCACCCATAGTGCAGAAGAATGTTGCTGCTGAACTTGAGTATGTTCCTTCAGTGGGGCAGCAAAAAATGATGTCAGCTATCGTGGGTTCTAAATAATTGGCCTATTGGTTATGCAAGCATTAGTTATGACAAAGGACTCTCTGGTAGGTGTGGTAGATTTCCACTGTATTTGTGTCTGTCAATCTTGGGTTTTCACCTCCTGTTCTTTTAATGCAAGAGTTTTCTAGTGGTCAATTTCTTTTCTCAGGAGCGATTCACGCCCGCTGAGACACGAGTGGCGACCCACGCCTCTCCTGGTTATGCACAGGAACTCCTCAGTGCCCAACTTCCGCCGCGACGTCAAGAAGGTGGAGACGCTGAGGAAGCCTGCGGTGACGGCCATGAACCGTACCACCTCCCTGCAGGACGAGCTGAGCAGACTCCGCTCCCAGATCGCCAAGATCGTAGCCACAGAATCTGGTAGGGAATTTGTAAAGGAATTTTAAGAAAAATTAAGGATTCTAGCTTTAATATCTAAAATATTTTTCATTATGCTCCTAGATTTCTTTGTGCGCGCCTACATTTTTCAACTTAGGTGCACACGTGCTCCTTGTAAAAAAAAAAAGGTCAGCGTAGAGCCCTGCCTAAGTGTCTATCAGTGGAGGCTGGTGGGAGGAGCTATAAGAGGACAGGCTCATTGTATTGGCTGCAATGGAATGCAGTCAAACATGTGGTTTCCATACGTTTGATACTGTTCCATTTATTCCATTCCAGCCATTACAATGAGCCCGTCCTCCTATAGCTCATCCCACCAGCTTCCTCTGGTGCCTGTATACAGTATCTGACGCTTTGTCATTTATGCAGCCAGGGGATTGTCTTAAGAGTTGCTTTTTACGTGTCAGAATCTTCAATATGGCTGTACTTAATGCAGTGATGTGTAATAATAAGAGCCTCCTGTAATAATCAACCTCTGTTACCATGTGTATATTTACAAGACGTATGTGTCTTATTGGTCGTTGGGATTGTATGTCTTATGTCGTGGATGCATTAGCATATAGTCATTGTTGCAGAGATTATGATGACCAGTGTCACATGCTATAGCCATGCGCTGTTAGATGACACTGGAGTTCTTATAAGGCAGATAACCTGATTTTCCTAGGCGAGCGTAGGGCTGGCCCGCTGAAGACGAGCGTAGGGCTGGCCCGCTGAAGACGAGCGTAGGGCTGGCCCGCTGAAGGCGAGCGTAGGGCTGGCCCGCTGAAGACGAGCGTAGGGCTGGCCCGCTGAAGACGAGCGTAGGGCTGGCCCTCTGAAGACGAGCGTAGGGCTGGCCCGCTGAAGGCGAGCGTAGGGCTGGCCCGCTGAAGACGAGCGTAGGGCTGGCCCGCTGAAGACGAGCGTAGGGCTGGCCCGCTGAAGACGAGCGTAGGGCTGGCCCGCTGAAGACGAGCGTAGGGCTGGCCCGCTGAAGACGAGCGTAGGGCTGGCCCGCTGAAGACGAGCGTAGGGCTGGCCCGCTGAAGACGAGCGTAGGGCTGGCCCGCTGAAGACGAGCGTAGGGCTGGCCCCTGAAGACGGGCGTAGGGCTGGCCCGCTGAAGACGGGCGTAGGGCTGGCCCTCTGAAGACGAGCGTAGGGCTGGCCCTCTGAAGACGAGCGTAGGGCTGACCCTCTGAAGACGAGCGTAGGGCTGACCCTCTGAAGACGAGCGTAGGGCTGACCCTCTGAAGACGAGCGTAGGGCTGACCCTCTGAAGACGAGCGTAGGGCTGACCCTCTGAAGACGAGCGTAGGGCTGGCCCGCTGAAGACGAGCGTAGGGCTGACCCTCTGAAGACGAGCGTAGGGCTGGCCCTCAAAGTGATGGGCTTTGGGATTAAAACTGAAAGCACACTGACCTGCCTGCCCATGCATTAGAAGCTCTTCAGAGGACTCTGTATTTTAAATAGCCTGACCATGTGACCCCAGTGCAGGAGACGATTTGATTGCCAATCTGCGTCCATTTAAGGCTCTGTCCCAATTCTGAGGTTTATTTATGGGAAAATAAAAAAATCTGGATAAACTCTGAAAAGTGTGATAACTAGCCTCTCTCTGCTCTGTTCTTCTAAAGGCTCCAACCCCTTGACCCCCGACCTCCTGTCCCCCGACGACACCAGCATGAGCTTTTCCATGGCGCCCTTCGAGACGGCGCCCTACCAGCCTGCCGCCTCAGCCTCATTTGTCATCAGCGACGTGACGGAAGAGGAAGAGGAGGAAGATGAAGACGAGGATGTGGTGTCTGTGGTTTCGGAGCTGATGCCGGACCCCATGCCGCCCGCGAACATGTCTGCCTCCATGACGGCCTCGGCGACCTTTGACCTGGACCATCCCTGCATGGACTTCCGGGAGGCGGAGGAGGACACAGTGTCACTGTCGAAGTCCACCAGCTTTGCCGACGTCATGGACATCCTGAAGGACATGAACCGCATGAAGATGAGCAAGGACAGGTAGGTTAAAGGGAGAGTCAGGACATGGAGATGGAGGTTAAAGGGAGAGTCAGGACATGGAGATGGAGGTTAAAGGGAGAGTCAGGACATGGAGATGGAGGTTAAAGGGAGAGTCAGGACATGGAGATGGAGGTTAAAGGGCGAGTCAGGACATGGAGATGTAGGTTAAAGGGCGAGTCAGGACATGGAGATGGAGGTTAAAGGGCGAGTCAGGACATGGAGATGTAGGTTAGGGCGAGGTCAGTACATGGAGATGGAGTTAAAGGGGCGATTTCAGGACATGGAGATGTAGGTTAAAGTCGAGTCCCGACGGGATTTAGTTTAAGGGCGAGTCGGACAGGGAGATGTAGTTTGAAGGCAGTCATGGACATGGAGGAAATGTAGGTTAAGGGCGAGTCATGGACATGGAGATTGATGTTTAAAGGAGTCGAGTCAGGACATGGAGATGTAGGTTTGAAAGGGCGAGTCCAGGACATGGAGATATTGAGGTTAAAGGGAGAGTCCGGACATGGCAGATAGAGGTTAAAAAAGGGCGAGTCCATGGACAATGGAAGATTGAGGGTTAAAAGGGAGAGTCAGGAGACGGAGGAAAATGGCTTCCTCTCATGTCCATTAGTACACACACAGTCTAAATACCATGTCAGCAGAAGGTGTATGATAATGCATTGGCAGGAATCAAGGACAACTGGTCATCGTCCCGTTTTCCACAGCTAGAGGAATCAATTAGGTCAAGGATGGGCAACTTTGATGTGGGGGGTGGGTCACAAAAAATCTGAACTCATTATGAGGGGCCGCAGTGGCTTGCTGGTCTGCATTCCCACATTCATACCTACACGTAATGGGGGATGAAATCGATACAGTTACATATTGCAATATTATTTTTGAACGATATTATACCAATATTTGACTCCCAAGTATCGATAAAAAAAAAAATATATAAAACAACTTTTTTTGCTGCTGTTGGTAACGTGAGCTTGCTGTACCTGCGCCAAAATGCCGGTATTTTTCATCCTATAGCTTGTAACTCATTTTCTCATGCTCTCTAGTCTCTCTGCAGCAGACATATAGTGAGCAATATGTTTGGAACATCAAATCACAAAATCACAGTATTGAATCGCAATGCAGTGCCTTCGGAAAGTATTCAGACCCCTTGACTTTTTCCACATTTTGTTACGTTACAGACTTATTCTAAAATGGATAAAATAAAATAAAACCTCTTCACCAATCTACACACAAAACCCCATAATGACAAAGCGAAAACAGGTTTTTAGATATTTTTGCAAATTTATACAAAATATACAGATACCTTATTCACATAAGTATGAGACTCGAAATTCAGCTCAGCTACATACTGTTTCCATTGATCATCCTTGAGATGTTTCTACAACTTGATTGCAGTCAACCTGTAGTAAATTCAAGTGATTGGACATGATTTGGAAAGGCACACACCTGTCTATATAAGGTCCCACAGTTGACAGTGCATGTCAGAGCAAAAACCAAGCCATGAGGTCGAAGGGCTGGGGCGAAGGTTTACCTTCCAACAGGACAACGACCCTAAGCACACAGCCAAGACCTTGAGTGGCCCAGCCAGAGCCCGGACTTGAACCTGATCGAACATCTCTGGAGAGACCTGAAAATAGCTGTGCTGCAACGCTCCCCATCCAACCTGACAGAGCTTGAGAGGTTCTGCAGAGAAGAATGGGAGAAACTCCCCAAATACAGGTGTGCCAAGCTTGTAGCGTCATACCCAAGAAGACTCAAGGCTGTAATCGCTGCCAAAGGTGCTTCAACAAAGTACTGAGTAAAGGGTCTGAATACTTATGTAAATGTCATATTTCAGGTTTTATTGTTAATAAATTAGCAAAATATTCTTAACTGTTTTTGCTTTGTTATTATGGAGTATTGTGTATAGATTGATGAGGGGAAAAACAATTTTATAAATGTTAGAATAAGGCTGTAACGTAACAAAATGTGGAAAAAGTCAAGGGGTCTGAATACTTTCCGAATGCACTGTAGAATCGTGAGAATTGCATAACCTATCGTATCGTTACCTAAGTATCCTGATAATATCATATTGTGAGCCTTAATACCCACACATTGTCAGCCGGCCCTAGCCTTTTAGGGGCACTAAGCTACAGCAAAATTTACAGCGGAGAGATTTGTTTTGTTTTTAAATTAATTTCCTTTAATTTTACACATTTTGCCATGGGGTGTAGAGAAAATGTTGCTGTTTTTAAAGCAAGTTTGATGCAATTCTACACATTTTGCCATGCAGCGAAAAGAAGATTTAGCAATTTTATAACTAATATGATATCTGAGTAAGTGTGACTTACAACATTTATGGCCCCCCCCCCGGTCCGACAATCGACCATGATTACTACAGGTTTAGATACACTAATTTACCAATCAAAAAATGTTAGCTGAGCTAATTGAGTGACTGTCAGAGACTGACGCAACAAGAGACAAACTGCTAATGCACAACCAAATTTCGAAATGGCACCAGTACGTTGAGACCTCGACTGAGTTCCTAAAAATATATATATATATAAATATAATCTTTTTTTTGGGGGGGGGGGGGGGGGAATGTGGGCCTACAAACGGGGGGTTCAGCCACCAGTTGCCATCCCTCAATTAGGTCATGAGTTTCAGTTTGTCTTTGTACCAGACCATGCTCTTAACGTGTCCATGCAGGTGCAGCAGAGGCTGCACCTCCCTGATGGGGGAGTCGGACTCCGCCTCACTGATCTCCGAGGCCCTGAGGAAGAAGTTTACCCTGAAGGATGAAGACATCAGGGGGATGAAGAAACACAACTAGAGCCTCCGTAGTCATCCACCTCCCCACGTAAGTCAGGCCACACAGAAAGTAGTCCCTCTCCACAGACATTCATACAGAGTATGGCTTGCAAGATTAGACAGAAACAGTTGTTATTGGGTCTCATCTATCAAGCTTTATTTTGAAAATGTTCAATTGCCAGTGGACTTTCCAATGTGTGTTGCATGCCAGGATTTTACTCTTGGTTCGCAGAGGTCTCTCATTGTTTCCGTGTCTCTCTTCTGTTGCCAGGCCTGTGCCTGACGACCCAGTCCCCGTGGAGACCCGGCTGCACCTCATCAACCGTGGCAACAGCTAAACCAGACATCTGGAAAAACAAACCACCTCCTCCCAATAGGCCCAGTCAGTCAGAACCCAACCAAATATAAACCATACCCTAGCTATTAAAAATATTGCCTAGTCAGACCATGGTAGCAGCTGGCTGATAAGTGGTATTAGATGGGTACTGTTTGATGTAGCACAGAGAATTTTAGACCAACCGTAACTTGTCGATACTTCCTCAATTCCCGACTTGGAAGACAACCGATGTCTTCTAAAAGTCCATGTCTAGTTTCAGGGGGTTGTTTGAATTTAGAAAAATGCTCCTTTAATAAAATACATTTTTGTCTGCCACCCATTATTAATGATACAAAAAAAAGTCTAAAGATTTGACAGCAATACCGTATAAAATTCAAGTCAGTTGGGAACAGGTTTTTGATGTCCCAATACCTTGGCATCGGGTCTATGAACAATAGTTGACATCAATCCGTTCATTTCAATTTAAGCTATTATATAAAATACTTGCTACAAAAAGAATGCTCAATATTTGCGGAATTGGACAGTCAGCCTTGTGCAGTAGAATCAATAGAACATATTTTCTGGTAATGTCCATCGGTGGCTCGCATTTGAGTCAGGTCCAGGAATGGTTGTTATGTCATAGTATCAGGGTTCTGGTATCGGAACAACCACGATCAGTCAATGGGAAACGTCATTATACTCTTGGGTAAAGTATTTATTTTTAGGGCAATATCAGTAGAAGTGTTACAAATAGGGAGGATCAGGACCCTTCAGTAGTTCAGTAAGACATCACAGTAAAATGGAGGGATGTATTGCAAAAGGAAATGCAAATGCTTTTCTTTTTTATATGCCAGGCAAAATCATAGAGAATCATAGCTGGTTGCCTCGAAGGGGTATCAACTAAGGAGACAGACAATTTCTACTCTAACCCTAACCCACATAGATAGGGTCAGTAGTCTTCCCTACCACCAGTAAATTTGTTCACAACATTTAAAATAAATAAGCTTTTTCTGCATATGGAACATTTCTGGGATCTTTTATTTCAACTGGTGAAACATGGGACCAACACTTTACATGTTGCATTTCTATCTTTGTTCAGTGTACATTTTATTAATATGTAGCTAAGTGGTAAAGCACATACTTTGTATTATAATGTATATCCCCTTTCTCCTCTTGAGTGTGTAGGCATATACTGTGGTACAAAATGCTTGATTAAAAAAAAATAGTGACAGTAGTACCATTGTATATAAAACATCCTCCAGACTAATTCTGAAATGGCAAGGCCCCAAGCTCAAATCTGTTGTGGACAGTAGCGCACAGATGGGAAAAACAAGTCAGTTGTAATTTGCTCAGATCTTGTTGCCCTGTTGTTAAGATGATCTCTTGTCACCTGCCCTAAAAACCTATCCACCATGATACCTTCAGTTCTTTGACAATCTTCGAAAGCGCTCTCCTTCATACCCGAGGGAGGCTAATAACTTAGAAGATTCTAGTTAACCTCGTTATTTTTCTCTCTCTTTCGCGATGGCCCAAGATGATCCAGGCCAGTCTATTTTCCATGTTAGTCCTTGGCCTACTTCGTCTCTCCACCCTCACCTCCACTAAGACCTTCCTAGCTATTTTAGATGCTGGGAGATGTCTGTGGAGAGTTGATCTGATAGAGCTCTGTGTCACAATGTGGCATTGTTAAAACTATTAATACAGACGTTAGGGTGACATTGAGACGGTTTCGTAATCCAAGATATATGTAAAGCTCCTCAAAGCAGGTTACTGTGCTTCTGAGAGAAAATGAACGGATTGTGACATGAGAAGTCCCATGAGAGATGGTATTCAATGTGCTTCGGAACCCATTATGAGTCTGCCCTAGTAAACGTCTTTCCTTTCCCTTGCAAGGTAGGCCTTAGTAACATTTCTACACTAAGTGGGTGCAATAATGTGACATGGAGATTTGGGACTTTTGATTTAAACTCCCTTACAACTTGTCCTGTAAAGGGTCAATTCTATAGTGGGTCAAGTTCAAAGACTTTGGATACATGATGTGTATTGTTGCCGTAGTCGTCCTATCTGTCATATAAACCAACATGGTTTTTCAACTTGTTCAGCTACAGTGTTTTTCATCAATGCCTTTTTCGTTTGCCGGAAACCTTTTATAAACAGACAAGTCATTAAGCTGGAAACTTTCCCAATGTTCTCAAAGTTCTCCTCACTTCCCAGACATTTCCATGACCATTTACAACTTGTCCATTTGTCCCAGTCCCACACTGTGATTGTAAGTGTTGTTCTCTAGTTGTCGGTCTTCAAAGTGTCCGGGGAACAAAACACTTGCTCAGCAAAGTGATGAAGTGGCAACTTTAGCCTCGATCTATCTTTCTGACAAATGTGGAGATAGTTGAGGCACGGCACTGCAGCAGACTGAGCAGAGAGCTAATTCTGAGGCCTTGCTAGGCTTGGCTGAGGTCAAAGAGCGATTTGACTACGTCTCTGCTCCAACCAGGGGAAGAGAGATTGCCCTAACGGTCATCAGTCTTGTAAAACTGCAAGCTGTCATTTAGGCAGATTTACACCCTCTCTGGGCTTTCAGGGAAAGTCACTTCAGTGCAGTGGAATGTCCTCATCCATGGTTCATACCCATTCTAGCAGAAACTAACTGCATGATGTTTGTACTAATGTACACTAGCTCTGTTTTTTTGTAAATTAGTTGTATTGTCTTTTTATCACAATGTCATATCAAACTCAAAAGAGCGATAAGAAAGTGTGTTTTATACAAAAAGTTGGCTCAAATTCATTTGCGTCTGACAGTAATTGGAAGACAATCACAATATGAATGAAAATACCAGAGACAGAGAGCTGCCAGCTGCCAGCTTAATGAGCATGACAGTCTGAACTCTGTCCCAACCATACCCATAGCAACAGATTAGCAGGAGAACATTACCTTCAAGAACCCACCCTACGCCAGTATTTCATATGAATGAAATCCATTGACAGCACCTTGCTTCTGCGCTCTGTCTTATTAGGATTGCTTTATAGGGCCCAGCTGTCTACTAAATGGTTAGCTCAGGGGTGGGTAAACTTTTTGAAATTCAACCGAGGGCCACTCATATTTATTTTAATTTTTTAGAAATGTGTTTGTCAAAATCAATTTGCGATCCAAAAAATGGCAGTTATTTAAAAATATATATGTCCATTATCATTTCTACATACCTTCTATCTAGTTATCGATGTTCAAGTGTAGCCTGGAGTGTTTTTTTAGCCAAAAAGAATCACCCCCCACTCCAAGAAAATTCATTAAAAAAACTTGCCCACCTCTGGGTTAGATGGAGGCGCAGGAATATACAGTGCTATCGTCCATAGGTTACATAAAGTAATCACTCACTTAACAATATCTAAAATACCAGAACTATAACTAAAACAATCCCTCAAAGGGGTTCAGACTCGTTGGCACAACTTCTAGATTGTTATAATGACAAGAATATACACTATGGACTGGTTTGAATCTAGATCACCCCCACAGAAAGTATTCACCCCCCTTGGCAATTTTCCTATTTTGTTGCCTTACAACCTGGAATTAAAATTGATTTTTTGGGGGGTTTGTATCCTTTGATTTACACAACATGCCTACCACTTTTAAGATGCAAAATATGTTTTATTGTGAAACAAACAAGAAATAAGACAAAAGAACAGAACTTGAGCGTGCATAATTATTCACCCACCCCAAAGTCAATACTTTGTAGAGCCACCTTTTGCAGCAATTACAATTATAATTTTTTGAAACAAGTTATTTCTTTAGTTTCACTTCACCAATTTGGACTATTTTGTATGTCCATTACTTGAAATCCAAATAAAAATCCATTTAAATGACAGGTTGTAATGCAACAAAATAGGAAAAATGCCAAGGGGGATGAATACTTTTGCAAGGCACTGTAGGCCTCCATGACTTATTCAAAGATGTGCGTGATGAGTAAGTATGTTGCCATGCAATAAAGGGTTCCCAGGATGTGTATGAAAAGTTGGCAATCATTTTTGTGTCTGCCCGGGGAGTCATTTCTTGCCTCTTGACATCACACATCGGGAGGAGGTATTGTAGCAACAGCCAATTGGATGTTGTTAAACTAAATGGAGGACAACAGTCTTGGGGAACACCCCCCACCGCCTCAAACCCCGCCTCAGTCGCCTCAAAACACCAAATGCTTATGAGTCACAGCCAAGAAAATAAAGCCTCAACAACAAAGAGGGTCTCCTTATTGAATGTACTGTATATTCAATTGGATCTATTTTCAGCGCTCTCTTTTCTCCTGCTTTTGAAAATGTGTTTGCCTTCACCTCTTGATGCTTTGTAATGGAAAATAAAGTGTCTCTCTAAGGGTACTCAGATAGGCCCCGATTCCGAACTCGAGTTAAACCCGCGTAAATGGAATGTAATTCCCTTTCTATGAGCTTTTCTCTCAATGCGATTTGTGACCTTGAACTTAAGCATGAGAATAACAGGCTATTCAACCGCTATTAATTTGATGTGGAGCTCTAATAAATGAAGGTGTGGCAGAGGTGTGTCTACAGATACGGCATATTCTGACCTTGACATAAACGTCTCTCCCTGATGTGACCTACTTGTTGTGTATGTACTGACATGTATGTGTAACTGATAGATGCACACACACACACACAAACTACATGTTAATGTTTTTAAATGTATGTAAATTTTAAAGTATTTTGTCTGTAATGTTTTTTTTCACTGTGTCAGACCCCAGTAAGACTAGCTGTCGCAATTGATGCAAGGAAGGAAACAATGAATAAGGTTGAGGGAATCTGCCAGTTCCAAGTGGAAAAAGCATCAACAGTTGATGTCAGAAGTTTACATACACTTAGGTTGGAGTCATTAAAACTAGTTTTTCAACCACTCCTCAAATTTCTTGTTAACAAACTATAGTTTTCGCAAGTCGGTTAGGACATCTACTTTGTGCATGACACAAGCTTTTTTTTCCAACAATTGTTTACAGAGATTATTTAACTTATAATTCACATTATCACAATTCCAGTGGGTCAGAAGTTTACATACACTAAGTTGACTGTGCCTTTAAACAGCTTGGAAAATTCCAGAAAATGATGTCATGGCTTTAGAAGCTTCTGATAGGCTAATTGACATCATTTGAGTCAATTGGAGGTGTACCTGTGGATGTATTTCAAGGCCTACCTTCAAACTCAGTGCCTCTTTGCTTGACATCATGGGAAAATCAAAAGAAATCA